GGCTAGAGTTCTGGGCGCAGAGTCCTGTCTTGGACACCAGCTCTGTGAACTGGGGGCAAGTTAATTTACCTCTTTATACCTGTTTAAGCAACTCCTTAGGCCTTAGCAACCAAGTCTGAGGTGGGAGGTAATTTACCTTGAGAGTAGCTGATTTCACTCCCTGTGTATAATAAACTTCAGATTCTCAAAGTATAGTTTATCATTCAGAATGCAGCTTAATTCTTACAACTACCCAAGTGAAATCCTTGGGTTTTCTTGCCATTTACAGAAGTGGTCATTCTACTTGTTAAACCCTTGAGATTTCTATGGAAAACACCTGAGTTTAGTAAAGTTAAGCCCTGTCCCTCAAGCTAACAAGGAAAAGAAACCTGCTTACACAGACCTGTTAGTGATCAGAGTAACCAGCCAGTTTAGTGAGCACAGGCTTCTGTTAGGTGGGTCTACTCTTGCCCAGCTGGTGCTTGCCTCTCTGTGGCTTAACCTTAGCTGGAAAGGAAGAGTTCTTAATCTTGTTGGGTCATGGACTTCTTTGGTAGAGTTGGTAAATACCTCCTGAAAATAGTTTTTAAATGCATGAAATACAGTACATAGGATCACAAAGGAAACTAGTTATCTTGAAATACAGTTGTCAAAATCTTTAAAAGAAAAAAAAAAACAAAACCAAAAACTCACGGACCCAAGGTTAAGACCCGCACTGGTCCAAGAGAATCCTAGAACTAGTCAGGTGAACCAGGCTGCTTGAGTTTGCTCTAAGGTGTGCCTGTTGATGCTCAGATGGATCTGGGATCTGTATGTGGAGACTGCAGTTGGACCTAGGCTCCTCTTAGAATCATCTGGAATGACTAGATGAGATCCTGTACCCCAGCCCCCTTTTCTGGCAGATCACTTGAGAAATGAACCTAGCCTGTAGGGGCATAAGGAAGGAGGGACCTCTGGTGTTCAAGTACTTGCTTCCCCCCCCCCCCCCCCCCTCACTACACATTGTAGCTTGGCAGTTTTAGAAAATGGACAGAATCTGCCTTCATGCTGACTTCGATGTATAGGCTTACCTTGTTTCATAACAGATGAGTTTCTGAAAAGCTGAGGATTGCAGTCAAGTTGGATTTGGAAATAAATTTTCTTAATTTCCAAGTGATTTTTTAAGTTTGTTCCTAACTTTTTAGCTTGATTTTTTTCTGCCTCCTTAGCCTGTCATGGTCTGTAAACAAACACTTACATGTAAGGCATGCCAACACCTCTGACAATTTGTCAGTTTTAGCCTGAGCAAGTCCCTTAATTGCTCAGTGCCTCGGGCTTAGACCAGAAGTTTCTGACCTACCCTGGTGGGGAGGGAGTTTTCTTCCCCATTGACATGCATCTTTTAAGTATGAGAAATCCAAATGTTATCTGCTCATTTCTTTACTCAGTCAGATGTATCATGGTTTAAGTTTGTCTTTTTAATCTGTGGAAGAGGCCTATCTTGATAATTTTAATTTTGGTTTCTTAAAGTACAAAGAAGGCAGTATGTAAGAGATTGTTGGCCTTTGAATCCAGAGGCGTTGGATTCAGGTGTTGCCCCTTAGGCTTACTAGTTATGTGAGCTCCTGTTGACTAAACCTTTCAGTACCCCAGGCGTCTCTGTAAATTATAGGTAAATTATACCAAGGATGGAAGGAGGGAGGGAGTTTCTGCATTGATGAAATCCAGTCTGAACCCTCACCAAAGTGTGCTAGGGCACTTCACTGTTAGGCCCTGGGGATCCAAAGACCACTCTGCTAAGGGGATAGTTAGCAAGTAAAAAGAAGTCTTTTGAACCTGGTGGGTTTTGTACTTTGGCTTTTTTAGTTATACCCCTTTCTTCTAAGGCTCCTGGACCTTTCCGTGCTGGGATGAGTAGTAGGAGATTTAGGTGGAAGTATAAGGTATTTGGAAGGAGAAAAGGAGAGTCAGAATACTGAATTCTTTAGTAGAAAAACCACTGGACAAGATTATCTTAATTGTTACAGCTTGATGGCTTTTTCTCAGTCTTCATCCTTCTGGTCTCTGGAGCTTTTGACCCTCCTCACTGTTCCTTCGATCTTCTTTTCTGGTTCCTCGTTCTCTCACCCAAGGTGTTTCCCAAAACTCTCTCCTGGGTCCTCTTTTTTTCTTTCCCTTCCACACCTCCTGTCTTTGTTTTCAACCTCCATGGGTTGTTATCTCTCTGCAGGTAATTTCTAAATCTATCTAAGCCTAGTTGCAGTTGGTAAAGCAGGCATCTCATCTGGGATTTCCCATAGGCATCTCAAATTCAACCTGCCAAAACTTATTTCATTATCTTTCCTCCAAATATTCTCCTCTTCCTAACTTCCTTTTTTTTTTTTTTTTTTTTTTTTTGAGCGTACCACCATCCTTCCAGTCTCTCAGGTTCTCAGCCTTGTAGTCATTTCTACCTTTTTTTTTCCTCCCTCACCCTTCGTCTCCAGTCAGTTGGCCAGTTTTTTTCCATTGAGTCCCCACCACACCTCATGCACCTGGCCCCTTCTCTCTCCCTATTCACATAGACATTACCTGAGTTCATATCCTCATCACTTCTGGCCTATCCTATTGCAGGTAGCTTCCTAATTCCTGCTTCTTGTCCTTACCTGCAATTTATCCCCTTCACAGCTATGAAAATCTTTCTGAAGCCCCAGTCTCACTTAGTTGCCCCCTCCCCTGCTCAAGAATCCTTCCTCTAGAATAAAATGTAAACACTTGGTTAACATTAAAAACCCTTCAGAGTCTGATTTGAACCTCCTCCTCCAGACTACTTTCACATTGCTTCCTGATTCAGGTACTAGTATTATATTCCAGCTAAACTGGTACTACCCATACTTGGCATTCTATCTTCTATCCCTCTGCCTTTGAACTCAGATGGAACCCAGGCACAATTCTTATCCACTACCTCCCAGGATCCTTATTTTTCCAGGGTCAAATGAGATAATGTATGTAAAAGAAAGCACTATAAAAATAAAAGGTCCAGGAAGGGTTTGGCTAGGGGTCCTCTTTTTCCAGACTGCCCTCATTTTTAGTGGTTTTACCAAAGTTCAAAGTGCTTTTTTTTTTTCCTCTGAATTTTCAGAGAAAGAAAAAACCTAAACCAACTTTTTCAGACCAGAGAGCTCAAGAAATGAAACATGCTTTTCAACTTCTGGGTCCAACAAGTCTTGTATGTTGAAGACTTTAATATTTATGATCAAATGATGTAATTTTAAAAATTAAATTGCTCCCCCCTTTGTTGTAACAGGATTTTACCTGCATATAGTAATCCCACCTTGCCACTAAAGTCCTCTTCTGCTTCCTCCTTGTGGCAAGGAGGTGCCCCCGGGTTCTCAGAGGTAGAAACTCTGGCAGCTCCTACCAAGTTGGCAAGGCTTCCAGTTCGGCCCCCAATGACTGTTGTTCCAGTACCAGTCTAGCTAAGCCTGGAGAGTCTCCACATTGGCCACGGCAACTCTAGAAGACCTACTAAGTCTTGGAGTTGAGATCTGCACCTTTCTGTAAGTGGAGGAAAATACTTACACTGATGAAATTGTCAAGTTGTTAAAGTACTGGATTATAGTGATTACAGTGCCAACTGGGTGAGGAAAAGGGGTGTTTCTCATGTTATTTGAAAGACAAATAATTTAAAATCTCCTTAATGCAGATTCACTAATGATGAAATGTGTGTGTGTATGTGTGTGTAATTCTTATTGTTGGTCTCTTCTAGAAATGTATAGAAACACTAAAGGCCTACAGGAGCACTAGTGCTTTGGAGCGGTCCACTGTTTGGAAGAAGGGGCTAGAAATTGAAAAGAGATTTGGGAGTTAGGTGTTCAAAGTGCCATTGGTGGCCACTAGCCACTTCCTAACTTGTTAAATTAAACAGTAAGTTACCATTTTGGTCTGAACCTAGGCCATACCCCCCCCGCGCCCTTCCCCTAATCTGGCTTATATAAAACCTGAGTGTGGCCTGTATTATTTTTCAGTGTATACCTCTATATATTTTTTCCTTTTAAAGAGCATTTTAGGAGGGTGTGCTGTAGTCGGACCAACATGGTAGTAATAATGAAAATTGCTGAGGAAATAGCACTCAATAAGTTACTTTTTGTTATGGAAAATGACTCATTTGGGAAGGGGTTTGGAGAAAACATGTAATGTACTAGATTTTTCTTTGTAAAAAAAAAAAAAATTGTATCTAGATAATGAAGGCAGTATTTCCCCCACTCCTTGCCTCCAGGTGCCTCATGGACATATCTTTGTTATACAGAATACTTTGTTGTAAGAGGGTTGTATTTACATAGGATATTAATACTAAAAAGGAGTATTGACCATGCGGCTCAAAAAACAAATGATTTAAAATAAAAGCTCATTAATGCTGATTCACTAATTTACAATTAATATGGACATGGAAGAACTGCTTGACCCAGAAGGTAAAGGCATCTTTTGTTTCTTGGTCTTTTTATCAAGGTCAAACTTAAAATTTTAAATTTCAAAATGCTTCCTCTGAATTTTATGAGTATTATTTGAAATGGAAGGCTTTAAAATAAATAGGGTTGTTTGGTTTGGTTTGGTAACCAGGGGTTCCAGAAATGAAAGATGCCTTTAATTTCTAAGGCCAGCAATTCTTGTATGTTAAAGTACTTCATATTTAGGATACATCATTATATAAAGTAGACCTATTGTAAATAGTACTTTCTTCATCAAATTGCTGCATTCTCTTTATCAGCATTCATATCTTTGTTTATACTACTATGTTTAGAAAATAATGTAATGCATTTTTTAAAAAATCCTTTAATTCAGCCTTCACTAACTCTTGCTGCTCCTCGCCTGGCCCCCTTGCCAATTCCAAGTTAGTGGGATTTTATTTCATTTGTCTTGTCAGCAATTTCTTTTTAAGGGCAGAAACTGTATGCTTGGCCAATTCAAGTTATATTTTTTGTTCTTGCGTTTTCTGTCATTTGTTAGATTTAGTACCCATAATTGAGTAAATAACCTTTTTTTCATTCACAATTGTTTGATAGTGTCTGGAATGGCTGGTACTGCCCGTATCGACGGAGACCATATTTTTGTATCAGTTCCTGAAGCCCTATTAGTTTCTGATGTTGTCACGGATGATGGGATAAATCTTGAACATGGCCTTGCGTCTGAAGTTGTCCAAGGGCCTGATATCGTCACAGAAAATGATTTTGTAACAGAAGGTGTGTTTGTTCCTGAACCTGTTCTGGAAGCTGATATTGCCATTGAAGAAATTTTAGATATTAGTGATCGCATTTTGACTTCTGACCTAATAACAGAAACTGTTAGATTACCTGACCAGATTTTTGTGGCTGACCTTGTTACTGGTCCTGAAGGACATCTGGAACATGTGGTCCAGGATTCTGTGTCAGGAGCTGATTCTCCCACAATAGCATCAGAGGAAGTTCTTGTAACCAATTCAGATACAGAAGCTGTGATCCAAGCAGCCAGTACTCTTCCTGGTTCTACAGTTGCTATAAAAACTGAAGATGATGGTGGCAAGAGCACTTCTGAAGACTACTTAATGATATCTTGTAAGTGAAATCAAAGATGGATAAGTGACTGGGAGATGATTTGACCTAGAAGAGGGTGGGAGGGGTCTGCATACAGTAAAAGTCATGATAGAAGCCTTTTCGAAAAACAGTTTGTTGTAAAGTTGTATTTTTATGAGCTGCTTTTGGATTTACTGGGTGAAAGCCATACTTCCAAATGTCATTCAGAAGAGTAGTATTTCTCTTTTCTTCCATTTTTCACCTGTTTGAACCTGGGGAATTTCTCGCTTATGTGATGATGTCTTAGAGAACAGAAAAAAATGAAGGCATATGGAAGAGTTAACATAAGAGAATTGTGGTGGTAGAAATACGTGTGTTTGTGTGTCTGTGTGTATATATATGTATAATATGTGTCTTGGAAAAAATATACTATATATATATATATATATATATTTTTTTTTTCAAGACAGGAGGAAGAAAGTCATACTTTTTTCCTCTCAGCCAAAAATTTCTCTTCAGTACTGTCAGGCACAGAGGTTGTGAGTTCAGTTTTATTTAGGGACTTGTGTATGATCTGCTATTTCAGGGTAACACTGCAGATTTCATACATGCTGTTTCCTTTCGATAAAGAGTTTGGACCAGATTCTAAACTTGGATGTGGAAGCCAGCTCTCCTCTCCCTGTGTGTATCTGGATTGACCTATGTTAAGTGTCTTGTGTATATTTGATGTTTTGGGTCTTTTTGTTTTTGTTTTTTAAAGACATTTATTGGTTTTTAAAGTGCTTTTTTGAGATCTTCTCACCTTTTGGGGTGATGATATAAAGATGTTATCTTAGGTTATGGTTTAAATCTGAGCAACCAGGAATGCTGAGCCAAAGGTCAGTTGGTAGATCTTGAACCAGAAGTGGTTTGTTACCCATGGAGTTGGCAGGGCTGTGCTGCCAGCTTTGTGGGCTTCTAGAATTGTCCTTAGAGAGGTTTTGAGTTTGAGATTTTGAAATGCATTTTGGGGAATGTGTTAAATATGTATTGTATGTAAGTTTGGATTGTTTCCAGTAACTTTCATCTGTAAGAATGAGCATATTCTGTAAATGCAACTTGTAAGTCTAGCTTATTCAGAGTTTTGTTAATTTTTTTTCAACCAAGACATTTATGAGATAGAATATTTTGATATATTTACCAAGTGTTCAGAGCACAACTCTATGGCTGAGCGTTTTAATTAATTTGTGCAAATGCTGCACATATCTTAGGTGTGAACTTTTTTTGAACCAATTACTCATCTTCTACTCCCTAGCATTGTCTTTTGAATAAACAAGCCTTTGTAGTTTCCATGCCTAAGTTCAGCATGACTTCGATTGGATACTAGTTTGGTATCAAAATAGTTGGTATTAAAATTTTCAAGTGAAAGGTAAAAATAAATACTTTATAAGGAAAGTATGAATTAAAGCATAGGGCCAGTGGTATATTGGATGTCATCACCCCACATTTTTCCCACTCATTGTTTTCTAGAGGTGTTAAGAGCTGTATTCAGAGAAATAATCTTTTAATATGTTATGTAAATAATCACCATCAAGGGAATAAATTTCAATTCAAGAATTTGATTAACCTTTAAGAATAACAGAAGAACAAAGCGTATTGTTGTAATGCTGTTGTTATTGCATGTGTTTTTGTTGGAGGTTAGGTATCTCTTTGTATTAGTGATGTTTAAATTGAGATTTTATAAATGATTTTTTAGCCTCTTTCTCTTTTTGTTTTGAATTTGGATTTGGGTTTTCTTCTTCTTTCTTCTTGCCTCCACTTCACTTCCTTTTCTTCTTGGGCCGGGGTTGGCTTCTACTGGCTCTTGAGTCTTTCAGGGGATGGAGAATTAACTACCTTGAAAGGCCTCAGAGCTAAGACAAGAGGGCCCCTTGTCTGCTTTTCCAGAATGGAGAAGATTCCAGAGTAGCCTAATGATGGAGTTCAGCAACTAAAGGAGAAGGCCCTACTTTCCTTCTGGGATTCCTGCTTATCAGTGGAATAAAGAAATCCTCAGTCGCTGGGCTTGGGAGGTACGAAGTATCCTACTTCTTCCAGTCCCAGAGCTACATCTCAGGTTCATCATCCTAACTATAAATGGATTGAATGGAAGACTTACTCCTCATAGAATGTTGGATCTGTCATTCCATCTGGGTAAATGATAATCAGGAGGGATCAGCTTCAACAAAATTGATTCCCTGGAGCTCTTTTGTGGGTGATTTTCTTTTATTCAAAAGGATTTCTATATAATCATGTTTTAGATGAATTGCTGTAAATGGAAGAATATCATATTGTTGCCTCCTTTTGTGTTAGAAACAGAACTAAGAGTTGGCAACTTTTCCTAGAGTAAATGACTTATAATTTGGTTGCAGTGGTAATTCTTTTTAGTGCGGATAGGTATTAAGGAGTTCAGTTGTAAGGGACAGCCAGCACAGTGTGTTACAGAGGGTGATGGATCAGGAATGGCATGATTTGGGTTTTAGTTCAGTTCACCTCTTGGTAGGTATGTGCCCTTAGGCAAGTCACAACTTCTCTGCTGAAGTGTTACCACCTGAAAAATACAGGTAATTACTATCTGCCCTGCACATTATATTTAGAGGATTGTTGGGAAACTTAAATGAAATAACCGTACATAGATGTACTGTAATGAGCATAGCGGTGGTCATCACCATCATGCTTTTGTTCTCTTCCTAAGGTTGCAAGATGCCGCAGAATTGTAATGCTCTGCCTTCCTTGGTCAGACTGTATGTGGGCCAGGTGTCACACACAATAAGTATTGGTTTAACAAGCAGACTAAGAGAAGGCTTAATTGTCTTGATCCTTGTTTTTATTGCAGAGCAACTAAGCTTCCTTCTCTGGCTAATATATGTCTAGATTAATAGAGGGATTCCATGTGGATTTGATGATGTCTATGGATAAGCCCTTTTGAGGAGCTAATTTTCCTTCAATATTAACCATAATTAGAAAAGTAGGTCTAGGTTGAATGTATGTATACTTAATAGAAATGTCTCTGCAATAGAGATAGTCTACATGGACCAAATTTTTATATTGAATGTAGAAAAAGATTTTGTAGGTGTGTTATTCTTTAGAGCCGTGTGTTGAGAATGTATGATTAAAAAGAAATATTAGGAGTACAAATCCTTGATCAGTGACTTGCACAATTGTCCTTTGGAGGCTTCTGCATTAGGGGAAGAATTCTTGACTTCACTAGTAACAGTATGACTGTCCCCATATCTCCCCTGTGCCAAATACAAGGACTGGATGTTTTCTGAGAAAGTTGGAGGGGAAAGGGATAAGAAATAGTAATCACCTACACATCACTTGTTGCAGGAAAATGTGAACCCTGTACTGTGTATGGGCATATCAGTTAAGCATTTTTAACAATCAAAGTTAATAGTCCTTGACCTTAAAGGACCTCATATTCTGTTTGTTTGTGTGTGTGTGTGTGTGTGTGTGTGTGTGTTATAGGGTGGAGTGGAAAGTACTAGCAACTGCTGGGATAAGGAAAAGCCTCATAGGAGGAACTGCGTTGCCTGATGTTTATTGACTGACTGACCTGATCTTTGCTCAGAGGTAGGAATTCTGAGAGATGGAGTTGGAGAGAGTGAATTCTAGGCTTGGGGGACAGTCAGGAGAGCCACTTTGGCAAGAGAGCAGACCATATGAAATGGAGTAATATTTAAGAAGTTTGGAAAGGTAGGCAGGAGCCAGGCTGTGGAGGGCTTTAAGTGCCAACCACAAGAGTCTATACTGAATCTTAGAAGGAATTGCGACCCCCTGCAGTCTACTGAGGAGGAGAATGACATGGCCGTGCCTCTACTTTAGGACTGTCCCTTTGGTAGGTGCATAAAGGAGGGATATTTGAGGCAAGGAATCAGTTAGGAAGCTTCCTGAAACAGTAATCTAGGGGTGAGATGCTGAGGGCTTGAACAAGGTTGGTGGGTATATGAGGATAGAGAAAGGGAATAAACACGAGATTTGGGGGAGATAGAATGGACAAGAATTGGTAAGTGATTGGATCTATGACTGAGTGAGAGTGAGAAGCAGGGGATAGTCCAGCTTGTGAACTGAGGGTAGCCAGAAGGATGACAGAAGTAGGGCTGTTAGAAAGAAAGGGGATTGGAAGGAAAGAGAGGAGTTGGTGTCAGAGATACAGGAATGGAGCCTAGGAGAAAAACCAGGTCTTGCTCAAGAGATCTGAGAGTCACTTACAGAGAGATAGCCCTCATTTCTCAGATTGGGAACTGATAGGGTTCACCAAAAGTGTGGAGAGAAAGGAAGGGCCCAGGATATACTCACAGTCAGAGGGCATGATATGGGTGATATTCACAGAATTATTAGGTATTAACACGCCTGACTCAGAAAACTGGGGATGATAGGGAGCCACCTAAGCTTCTTGAGCAGGGAAGCAGTATGATTAAACATGTAGGAGGAAAACCAAGAGAAAACTGTATCACAAGAACCCAGAGAAGAGAGGGTGGTCATCAAAAAATGCTGTAGACAGGTCAAGAATGTTGGGTGGGGATGTGGCAATTAAAGATATTACGGAAAAAAGTTTACTTAAGTGATGAGGTCAGAACTCTCTCTTCCTCTCTCCTCCCCCCCTTTCCTTCTCTCTCCCCCTCCCCCCTCTCAATATATGGTTTTTTTTAAATTTATTTATTTATTTTTAGTTTTCAACATTCACTTCCACAAGATTTTGAGTTCCAAATTTCCTCCCCATCTCTCCCCTCTCCCCACCTAATGATGGCGTGCATTCTGATCAATATATGCTTTTAGGGAAATTTGTAGATCTGAGGAAATTTTTAAATCAATGCCACAGGAGTGGCCCTTTATAAGGAAATCTGATATGTGAAAATCCATACTTGCAGAATGTTGAGGGACTTTTATTCACATTTTAGAGGTTACTCAGTTTGCAATTCCTTTAAATTATTTCTTATTTCAGTGGAGCATCTCTTTATATAAACCATTTAAAGTAGTGAGTTTATCAAAATTCCATTTATTTGAAACATTTCACCAGGGAAATTTGTCTAAAATGAGGTGCATCTGTACTAGCAGTCTTCTCAGGTAGTAGCCACCTGCTGCGTTATCTCCAGTTTCCTGGGAACAGGAAAAAATTCAACACGTTTGTAACTTATGGCATACCCTCATTTTTCAGGGTGGTGATGTCCAGACCCATTGCAGATTCCTAGCTCCTGATTGATGTGGCACTCCAGTGTAACACTATTGGTGATTTCATACCTGCCATGGCCCTTCAGGAGAGCTGGTCTAATGGGGGTTAGGTAAAATTCTTCTCCTACTTTTTAAAACGTTCTATTGCACATCTTGCTCTAAAGTTTTTTTCTTTAAAAAAGAATTATTCTTATCATAGCCCAATGGGATATAAAAGGATATTAAACTTTAGAAAACTGCAGTATTACCAAATGGGATTTTACCTTACTCCTAATTATGTGACATTTAACTTCTAGTACTGGTCTGTAGTGGGCATGGTATCAGCAGCTTATTACATGCTGGGATGTCATGTAGGGTGGAAAGCAGCATTCCACGTTGGGTCTGGACATTGCTCACGTTAGAAAGTGAAAAGGTGAATTTCAGTTCAGATATCCTGAATGCAACTTGACTTAGGAGGAGAGAGGGGTTTAGGGTCCATCCATTTCTCAAGTCATTTCAATTGTTTTAATTTTTTTTAATTTAATTTAATTATCTTTTTAATTATATTGATTTATTTTTAGTTTTCAGCATTCCCTTTTATAAGATTTTGATTTCTAAATTTTTTCCCCTTCCCAAGATAGCATGCGATCTGATATAGGCTATATATATACAATCATATTAAACATTGCTACATTGGTCATGTTGTGAAAGAAGAATCAGAACAAAAGGGGAAAACCACAAGAAAGAAAAAACAAAAAGAGCAAATAGTATGCTTTAATCTGCATTCAGACTCCATAGTTCTTTCTCTGTGTGTGGACAGCATTTTCCATCAAGTCATTTCAGTTTTTAAAACTGTTTTTAGTTTTTATCTATAATAAAAGAATTCTAAAGATATATTAATTTTGATAAAAATTGATGGAATTTTTCCTTAAATGTGGCTTGCACAGCCATTCTAAATAGTGGTGATGCCATTATCCTTCATAGGCACTCAAACACTACCACCCCCAATAAATTGTAATTTAAAGAATAAATTAATGAAATCATAGGTCATCTTTAGAGGTCTGAAGAAAGGAGAGCAATGTAACCTGACAGAAAAGTTTAAATTTAATGATTTTAAGTCAGGAATGAAATCATGACATAGAGCTGGTGCATTGTAAAAAGGTATACTTGTCCCATGAAATCTAATTTTGTGCATCATGATTTTAATCTTTTAGATTTAGGATATGTGCTTTTTTCTTAAGTTAACTGATTGGTTTTACAGGTGAGAGTCTTTTAGTCATTTTGTGTGTGTGTGTGGTCCTAGACTCTTTTCTCATTTTGTATGATGTACCAAAATATCTGAAAGCTTTATTTTATAGAACCTTGAAGTACTTTGTTTCACTTATTTTGTAAAAGATAGTGAAATATTTTAGACAGTTTCATAGCTAAGCAGTTCATATATTTGATGTTTTGCTTCAGATTATTTAAACAGGAAAAAAAGTGGTATCCCTTATATTTAAAAACGATTTTACTAATTCTTATATACATATATATATATATACATGCATATATAGAGATATATATCTCTATATATGCACATGCTAATACAAACTAATTGCTGCTGAAGTATTAACAAGTGTGTATGTATATCTCTCCAATTCAACTTGAATAAATAGGTGCTGACGTTACACGAAAATGAGTGCTACTGTAATTCCTTCAACTGCCATTGATTAAGTCCTTGGTCTGGTAATGGGTCCTTGGTCTTGGTACTGTGATGGGATAGAAGGTATCAGTTTTTGCCTTCAAGGAGCTTACATTCTGTGGAGGAGACAACATGTACCCACATAGCTAAGTAAATATGAAACACATACAAATCAAATACAAAGCAACTTGGGGACCAGGGTAAATCTTACATAGGAAGGGGGCACTTGAGTTGTACTTGGAAGGTAGCTTAAGATTCTAAGACCCACAGAGTGAGGAGAGAAGGCATTCTAGGCATGGAGGGCAGCCTATACAAAGGCATGGAGAAAGGAAGTGGAATTTTGGACAATTAGAAAGTAAAGAGAGGTAACGTCCGGCCTGGAAAGCTGGACTGAAGCCCTGATTGGGAAAGGCTTTCGATGCCAAACTGGGAGAAAGAGTATTCAGGAAGAGAAGTCGGTAATGTCAGATGCTACAAAGGTGAAGAAAAATGAGGGCTAAGGAAAGTCCATTCAATTTGGTGGTTAGAGAATTCTGATAACTTTGGAGAGAGCAATTTCAGTTGAGACTGATAAGGTCAGAAGATAGATTAGAAGAGGTTGAGAAGGTATGGTAACAATGACAGCATTTTCTAGGAGTTGGCTAAGAGGTAGTATAGGATGGCGGATGCAGAGCCAGGAAGATCTGAGTTCAAGATCTGCCGTTGACAAATACCAGCTGTGAGACTGTGCCCTCTCTTTGCAATTCTCTTAAGACTATAGGTAACAGAAAAGATGCCAACCTGCATTGGTAAGGGGAATTTCCTTGTCTGAGAGCTGGCTATACCCGTGACTTCACAGGTTGCCTATGCAGCTATTCCTATCTTTTGGCTATGGAAGAGTGGAGAGATAGAGGATGATAGTTGGAGGGGATGCCAGTGTCCAGGAAAGGTGATTTTGTTTATTTATTTGCTTGTTTTGAGGATGGGGGAGACTTGGGCATGTTTGTATGCGACCGAAAAGGATCCCCAGTAGAGAGAGAGAGAAAATGAAAATGAGAGAGAGGGGTTGATTGTGAGGGCATAACCACACTTACAGGGCCTGGCCTTGATGGGAAGGGCTTGCTTCATTAGGGGCTGGAGCAGAGACAGAAAGAATGGACAGTAATGATAGCAGAATGGCTTTGAGATGGATTGCATGGCTAATGGCCTCTCCTTTCTTGGGACAGTATGAGGTGATATCCTCTGCTAACAAGGGACGGGATGGATGGGGAGGCTTCAAAATGTTATTCCATGAAGAGAATTACATTTCCCCTGTAATTTTATGTGCACTATTAATAAGCCTAGCCAGTTGCTTTTTTGTACAAGATACAGTGCTGTACTTGTCACATTATTTTTATCAGTGTGGTCAGAATTAAGGCTCTTTTGTTGGAATGTTTTACAAAGTAGAATGTTGTCACTCACTTGTAAGATCTCTCAATACTGTGCATCTTCTCTCCTTGCACCTTTGTTTTCACTAATAAATGAACCTGTGTGAATTGCAGATGAAATATCATGAAATGTTTTATATTGATTCACCAGCTGCCTGGATGACTAGGTATCTCAAACCCAATATGTGCAAAAGAGAACTCATGATTTTTCTTTCCTATTTTCTGTCAAGGGCACCACTAAGCTTCCAGTCACCCAGGGCTCTCACAACCTCGGAGGCAGCTTCCCCCTCTCACTCCACATATTCAGTCATTTTCTTGTTACCTTCTCTCTACTCCTACAGCCACTCTAGTTCAGGCCCTCAGCACCTCTCACCTTGATTATTGCATTGGCTGCCTAATTGGTCTCCCTGTCTCCTGTCTTCCTCTCTCCAGTCAATCTTCCACTATGCTGTCAGAGTGATATTACTAAAGCACAGGTCTGACCATGTTTCTCTACTCCTTAGAAAACTCCACCCATCCATGTAGTTCATCAAAGGTAGTTGTCTGGTGGTGTCCACGAAATTAATAATTTAAAAGAGATAGTAACTGGACTCCATCTAGCTTTTGTTTTTTCATTTTTATATGAAACTGCAAGAGTCCATTTTTTCTGACACCTTAACATATTTAAATTTAAATCAAAATCATTAACTATATTTGGTGTTGATTTTCTGAAACATACATACCATCTTTTTTTGGGGGGGGTATCTTCTGTCATATAAAGGAATTCTGTTTTCAGTGGCTGATAGTAGTGTTTTTGTTTTTTTTTTTTAAATTTCTAAAGAGATAGTCAACAGACTTGAAATTTATATTGGTGGGTCTGTAACAGGTCTTTTAAAAATATTTTCTTAACATATAATCAGAGGACAAGCATTCCATTGATAATGTTTCGTTGTTGAAAGTGGCCACTTTTGGTATCTGAAATTAAAGTTCTTGTTATATAGACTAAAAGATCTGGAGTAACATAATTGGGTTTTTGTCTTCATGTGACATATTGGAAAGTTTTCTGCCTTGCATTTCCAGATATTCCTATTGAAGCCTCACATTATTTGAAATGCTAGTGTAGTTACTATTTTGAAATAAAATATGCATTGCTGAGTTTGTAGTTATTTAAAGTGTAACCGAGGCTGGAAATTGTCAGTTAAGTATAGAGTATACATTAATTTCATTTTGATAATTTTGAACATAAAGATCTCTATTCTTTAGCTATCACTTCTTTGTTAAACTTAGTTGTCATAGCTTTTTTGGCTTTTGGGCTATGCTCGGTGTAGTATTGGTTTCATAGCCCACTTTATTTTGCATCATACATCTTGTTTTGAATTTTGGTGGTAAAATTTAACTTAGAATATTGAAAGTAATGGATGGTGGTTTGGGGTGGTTTGTCTTTTTTTTTTTTTAATAACTAAGTGCTTATTGAATATTTTTGTCAGTGAAAAAGAAATGTTTGTTACATTCCTGTTAGACCTCACTTGTGACCACTAAATGTGAGTGGTGCTTGAACTCAATGCTTGCATCCTCTTTGTTTTTTACAGTGGATGAAGATGCAGAGAAACTAGACCAAATTGCAAACCCACCAGTAAAAATCAACACTGAAGCTTCCAATGATGATGTCTCTAAAGAAGATGGGTTTGGTTCAGAAGTTATAAAAGTGTATATTTTTAAAGCTGAAGCTGACGATGATGTGGAAATAGGTACAGATACAACTTGGATTTACTCTTTTAATAGAAGCAACCGATAGTTTTTTTGGGGGTTTTTTTTGTTTTGTTTTTTTGAGTGATCTGACAATTGTGTTAGCAAAGGTTAGACATTTTCTCTTGGACCTGGGAACAAAATACATGAAAAATAGCTATTTCTGGGTGATTGTGAGCATTTATATTTGATAACATAACTGAGAAGAAGAATTTACCATTCTGATATCCATAGCATACATGTGAGTAGTGCTTTCCAACTGAATCTGTCAAACAGGTGAGTAGAGAGATTTGATTTGAACCTGTGTGGTGACTGCCTACTAATGGTGAATTTCTCTGAGGATTTCATGGTTTTAGGATTTTACCTAATACTGAATATTTTTTTGCAGGAAATTATTTAACTGAACTATACCTCTTCACAGCTTTCTACCTTAAGTTTTGACAGTTCTCTTGCTCAGTGCTTCTGTGGATTTGTGTTATTGTATCCAATCCACGTTCCTTGTGAGACTCTTGTCCACATGTTCCCATAAATCTGTCCAAGAGATCCACTCAGCAGGCTGGAGACCTTTTTCTAAATATCTTGACATTATGTCGATACCATTAAAACACAGTCTGTACATTAGTCATCTCTAATTCTTGTTATATTACCTGCCTTCTTTATTCTGTCATAGATGTCTTTATAACATCCTTTATGTAGCTTCTCCTGGACAATTACTTCTTGGTTGCAGCCTACTTGTTCCCACCTTGTTGGGTTACAGTAGTTCTTTGGAGAAGAAGGTAGTCCATGATTCGAGGCCATGTAGCATTATAAGATCAGAGGCTTACTAGTCTAGAACTAGAAGCCACTCCAGAAGCCATCTAGTCCAACTCTCTCAGTTGCCCTTCCCCTCCTTCCCCTCCTTCCCTCTCCACCCCTCTCCCCACATCGACGACCCCTCTTGGAAAAGTGTGGGAATAATTAAAAGTACTACACAATTTCCCCAAGGCAACCTGGCCTACTGTCTTTCTCCTCTTCTTGGATTCTCTTCACTGTACATAGCAATGAATGGAATAATCTTACAGGTTGTCCACCCAATAGCATATTGATGATAGGTGTTCCTATTTGGTTTTTCCTGAATATAGTCATTATGGATCTCATTTTAGAAGGCTTTGCAGTGTTGCAGGAATTGATGTAACCAACCCAATTTAATCTGTAAACATGAGTATCTAGAGAAACATCTCCAGGGCACTTCTCTTCTTCAATGTAGATTCTGTGTTGGATGTCATCTGTGACAATGGTGAACACAGCGAGCATATAACTCCCTATTTTATAACTTATTTCATAGTAACTATTCATTGACCCTCTGATGATTCTCAAGTATCAAGAAACCTTCTTCAGTTTCTAACACACATGAGAAATATTTGGAGGATTCTACCTAAGGTGACACTTTGCTCTCTTTCGTTAAATGCTTTTTTTTTTTTTTTTAAGTCAGCCAGCATGCACAGTGGAATCTTACGTTCTCTATATTTTGTAGTCAGTTGTATGATTGAAAAGATGTGGTCTGCTGCAGCTTATTGGTTTCCTTCCTTTCATTGAAAGTCTATTTCTTTCTCCTATCTTCCTAAAGAATGTCCTTGATGAGTGTTATTTTCTCATTAAAAAAAAAAAATTTTGTATAGTTGGTAGAGGCATATAGGACCATAGTTAGTGATAATTTTTTGGTCTTTCTTTTTAGTAATAATGCCTGAGATTTTTTTCCTTGACTCTGGTATTCTCTCTTGTCTTTCAGCACCTTAAGAACCAATTCCTTTTGTTTCCAGCACGGACCTCCTCGGCATTCATTGTTTGGCTGCTTTCCCCATCTTTGTTTGTTTTATTGTGCCATGTTTACCTTGTCATATAGCATTTTGGGGAAGGTGGTGGCTTCACTGCCATTAATGGAGGCATATGTAATTGTTTTCGTTTCCTTTTTTTTGCCTTTGCTTTCCTTTTTCTTATTGCTTCTTTAAATATTCTCAGGATATATGACCTTTTGATTTTGCCCAGTTGGGTATCTTGCCAAGATTTTGTGGTAAGTTTATTTTTCTTTCAGCTGCTTATCACTGTTTTATGATGAAGTAACAGCTCCTAATCTTATACCATCTTCATCTGTAAGATTTCACAGATGAGTTTTTGTGGTAAATTAGTGTTCCTCTTGACTACTCCATCCCTCTACTTGGTGTGGAGAGTGGTCAACTCTTTGCTGAGACAGTTTCTAGGCTTTCTTTGCCTTTTTGTTATGGTGATTTTCAGTTAGACTTAAGCACTGCTGATACTCTTGTGTTCTTTCATCTGTTCTTTATTTTTCTGCATCAATAACTTGTGTAAGATATAACAAGTTGGAGTTAACTTAGTTGGCTATCATACCTTCTCATCTTTCTTTTTAATTAAGATTGAATGCTCTACCAAGTCTATAGTCTGCCTATACACAGATAATTGATTTGGTAATGACCCTATGGTATAAAGACACCCACCTTGGTAACGGGTCACTTCCTCAAAGTTAAAGTATAATTAATTTCATTTTTGTGAAATGAAATTTCACAAGTTTGCAGTTTCTAGTGCCACTTACCCCTGTTATGACTAAGTACTCATGCTGTATAGGCACAGAGTTTCTATGTAAGCTACAAGCCTTTATTTAGCCTTCATCACTTCTTATTCCTGAACCTTTTTACAGGTTTGTGGTGGTTACCGTGGTGGGCATTAATCAAGTCCTTCACAGCCTTTCTCTACCTCCTCATCCTCTTCAAGAAATGTTGGTACAAAAGGTGGACCTTTTGCAGATGCTCATTATAAGCCCTCAAATAAAAAGTGGCTAAGTGGCCCATGGACTACTGTTTCTTGGTGTCTTTGGACTCAATAAAAACAAGTCCACTCACTCCACTGTTTGATGGGTTTCCAGAACTAGTTTACTCTTGTTGAGCCTTTCCATATTTAGTTAGCCTGACCCAGAGGAAGCCCATGTAGTATGTTGCTGGGACCCTGGCCATACTTGATGCCTCTCTGGTGTGGCAGAGCCATCAAGAACCCAGTCTCACCTACGATCCATGAAGAGGGACCAGAAGAGGACTTGGTGAGTGGTACCTGCTTTTCTTAGAAAATGTCTGTTTTTAATTTTTGAGGTGGAACAGAAGTTGTTACAGAGAGTGATTTCCACAATGGACATTCTGTCCCTGGAGTACTTGAACAGCAGGGATGTGTTGGCCGAATGCAGCAGGAGAAGATGGTTTACATGGCAGTTAAAGACTCATCTCATGAGGGTGAAGATCTCAGTAAGAATCAAAATATGTTTTTAAAAATTGATGCAACATAGCATTATTTGGCGTGCACACACACATGCAGTCTTTATTAAATGACGTGTAATCTCTGAGATACAAATACATGACTCCACATTTCTATTGTGTTAAATATTTAAAATGACCTAATAACTAATATTGTGAGAATCTATCTAAATTCAACAACCAAAAAAAAAATGAAGTGCAATACCCTTCCTATGACCACTTTTAGAGGCAAGTGTCTCCTCGTTTTTTCACCCTCACCCTGTTTGCCACTAACTAGGCCCCCAGCAGCTGGCACTTGATCAAGTGAAGACTTCTGTGAAGTGCTTAGCACACTTCATGGCACACAGTAGATACTTAATAAATGCTTGTTCCCTTCCCTCGGAGAATCTTGGGTTAAGGAGGCAGAGATTATCCAGGTTACTGTGCTTTCTTACCCTTTATACTGTGTCCCATCCAGGATTAATGACCATCAAAGTGGGCTAGCTCTTACCCCTTACCTTGCTATATGGATACCCTTTTTTTAAAAATTATTTTTTTTATTCTGAATTTAAGCAGCAAAATGGACATTTACATAGAACAGAGCAGAAAAATAGAATTGTTCGTGAAACTGCAAGTCTCTATTATGTACTACTTGCATTTCCGTTTCATTTTGTAGCTCTCAAAGCTCTCTTGTTCATCTGTGCTTCTTTCTTCTCTTCCTTCTGCATTTGTGCATTTGAAAAAAGAAACCTCAATTCTCTTTCCTTCCCATCCCCTCTTAAACCTCCCTTCTCCCCATGACACGTGGGGAGGGGAGTCAAAACAGAAAAACATGCATAATCAAGTAAAATAAATATATGTATACCCATCTTGCATGCAGCTCCCCCCCCATTAAAAAAAAAAAGGAGAGGGGGAATAGGGGGTACCAAGCTATTTCATCATCTTACTAGAAAGTCATCTGTCTTTTGCCATAGTCCCTCACTGCCCTGCAGTCTTCCTTCTTTCTTTGGGGAGTAGGAGTGAGAGGGGAGATTCTTCCAACTGGTTCTTTCTGTTTCTCATTCAGATCAGCTTGGAGGGAATAGTGAACTAGCTGACAGCTGTTAGGGCTGTAGGTGTGAACTGGGAGGTGGCTTTCATTCTTCCCCTCAGTGGTTTGAGATGGGGGACATAAGGATAGGAAACAGGAGCAGAGGTCCAAGCAGGGAGGGCAGCAGGGGTCCAAACAAAAGCCTCAGTGTCTAGGTAAATGTGAACCGGTTTCTTGGGCTGCCAAAAGGAAGCCGTGGTCAAGTTGGAATCATGTCCTCAAGCACCAGCATTCAAGAGGAACTAGCATGTTCATTTTGTTTTTAATGTTTTCATTCATTCCACCAAACATTAAATTCCTGCTCCATATTAGACTTTGCCATGACTAGTTGGGTTTTTCTGACTTTTGTGTTTTTGGAGGTGAATGTAGTCAGTTATTGCTGTGAGTACCTTGAGAACTGGGACACTCTTTGGCATTTCTTTGTCTTTCCAGTGCTTAGTGAAGTGCCTGTAGACTCGGCTCACAGCAGGTTCTTAATAAGTGCTTAATGACTAGACTTGGCTGTTCCTGTGGGGAAATAAGTTTTGAATGTTGAGTCAGGATTTCAGAAGGAGCTTGTGGTACCTAGCCTGCATAGTTGGATGACTACCACTTCTATTTCAAGTCAAAGCTTACACAGTCACAAAGAGCTGTTTTCTTAGGATCGGGTCTTAGCAAGAGAATTAGGTGACTTTTTTTTTTAAGGGGGGGTGCTGAAAAAATCAATGCACCTCCTCCTGAAGTGTCCAGATAACACTTAAAAATATACCATCCTAAGCCACCAAAAAGACCTTAGAAAGGTAAACTGTTTAAATTATTTGGAAAGCTGTACCCATTTCATTAAACATTTCAGCTTATAATTTAGACTTTGTCCTATTCAGATTGTGCTGAAATATCTGATGAAGTTTGCATGGAAGTCATTGTAGGGGATGAGGAAGCCCCTGCTCTTCCTGAGGCCCAGCTGGAAGACTCTGATGTGAATAAAACATTTGTTCCTGTGGCCTGGGCTGCAGCATATGGTAGGATACCCTTCTTTCTTACGCTGAAGTCAAAAATGTGCATGACCAATTCATCAAGCCCATTAATATACTATGCTAATGCCATCATAAATTGCCTCAGTTTACTGAAGTGGTTCAGCATATTTCCCCTCCTTACACCAGATTAGTAATTTCATAGTACCTTACAACGTGGCTTCAATCCCACTCCTTTGGCTGGAGTCCAAAATGGACCCTTCTTCCTTTCCAGCTTTCCTTCTAGAAATAGCCCATATGTTGTATGGCAGTTTTTGAAAAGCCAGCTTTTTATTCTGTAGGCTATGTCTAGGTTTCACGTCAAAGACATCAAGTGGACAGATTGATCTTTATTTTTCCTTCCCAACAGCCTGCCTCTTTTCAAATGATCTTCACTAACTGCCCTGTATCTTTTTAAAAAATCTACAATATATACGTGAGGGCCATAAAATACAAACATTGTACTGATTTATTTTTCCCCAAACAGTAAATACTCTTTGGAAAAAAAATATTTTTTTCCATTTTGAAAAGTTTGTTACCTTTGCTATTTGAATAAGAAATAAAGCTTATTGGGCTTTATGAACACTAGAATATAAAACAATTTTTTGGGAGAGAAATAAGTGATGGGAAATAGATTTACGTAGCAAATATTATAGAATTACAGCTTTAGAAATGAAATGATTGACCGTGAGTCCAATCAGTCCAGTGCTCACATTTTACATAGGAGATAACCGACTTACCCAAGACCATACAGCAGATACGCAGAAGCATGATGCAAACCTCAGTATTCTGAATCCAAATCCATTTATTGCCAATGTATCCTTTCCCCTTTCTTTTTGTCTTAATTCTCAAGATGGCTCAGGTATACCTTAATTTTTTAAATCAAGTGCAAATTATTTTACATTAATTTGGCTTTAAAAATATAAGAAATAACTATCCAATTTTGAACATGAAGTTTGAATTGTTTTTCTGGACAAGTGTGTTCAGAGGTGCTGATTTTTTTCTCCCCCCCCCCTCCCCCTTTGGAATTATTTTTCTCTTACGTGGAATGAAATCAGGGAGAAATAAAAATTTTAACTCCTTGAAAGAAATGCAGAATGTAACATTTAGTAGATGGGTAAATGACTTGCCTGTCATCATTGTAAACCACTAGCATTTCAGTTTGTCACTTATTTTTTTTAGGAGATGAAAGTCTTCCCCAGAGGTATGAAGAATGTGAGGCATCAGGTGAGAATGTAGTTTGATATGAACTATTAGGCATGAGATACATTTTTTATTATATATAGTAAGTAGAAAACTTAGTTATGAATATTGGGATTTAGGTAGTATTTATACACACAAAGTAGTTGGAACCGTTTAAACTTGCCTGGGTAAAAAAAAAAAAAAACCAATTTCCCAGATTATGAAATCATTTGAATAGTGTTTGGGGAGTCATAGTGTACGTAGAAAAATCCCTGGATTTGGAATTGAAAGACCATGTGTTTAAATCCTGAATCTGCTGCTTACTAGGTATATCATCTTTGATAGGTCACTTCATATCTGTGTTCTTCTTCTATGAAATGGAAACTACACACTTAAGGAGAAAATTTATAAGAAGTAATTTTGTTTAAATGTTAGACATTTTTATATGGATCCAGCCATATTACGTGGACCTGGATAGAATTTGTGAGGACATAGATAATTACAGTTGCTTAAGGCCTACGGACTTCTCAAGAGCTCTTCTGCCTAGGTATCTCAGGCATCTCAAACTTAGCTTGTCCAAATCAAAGCTCTTTGGTTCAATGCCACCTGCCCTGCCCTCTGAATTGCTCCGTTTCCATTGAGAGCTCTATTCTCCTACCAGTCTGGCAGGGCTGAAAGCCCAGAATTGTGTTTGACTCTTCCCCTTTCTCACTTCTCCGTCCCCCACCCCCCACAGCCTTGCTCAGTCTAGTTCACTTCTCTCCTGAACAGTCCATCTTAATTGGTTTATCTCCCTGTCCGGTCAGCCGTACATATCATTGCCAAGTTGATACTTCCAAAGCACAGATGTGACAGTGCCGCAACCCTGCTCCAAAAACTTTCAATGGCTCCCACGGAGAATAAAAATAATCCTCAGCCTGGCTTGTAGCTGCTTTTTTTATTGTTCTTTTCTAGCCCCTTCTCCCCCACACAGAGTCTGCTTCAATCAAATTTGCCTCTTCCCACCCCTGCCTTTGTACAAGGGACGCAGTGTCTGGAATGCACTCCCTCCTCACATCTGTCTCCTAGATTCTTTAGTTTCCTGTTTAAAAATGATTAATGTCTTTTATTTTTACATTGCCTTTATTTCCCAGTATATTTGTCCTCTACTCCTAGGAGCCATCCCTTTTATGGAAGCCCCTTGTGAGTAAGGATTGTTTCATTTACTGTATTTGTATCTCCAGGGCCTGGTGCATAAGAGAAACATAATAAATGGTTGTTGATTGATTAACAAAGAATAAAAGAGGGGGAGGGAATCAGTTCAGCAAAACTAACCACATCCCGCGTGGTGTTGCACAGCACTGGATAACCATAAACACAACCCCTGAAAGGAGTGATGGACAGTCTTACTCTCTTTTTGGGGGATGGGTTTGGTCATTGTCATTTTCAACTTTCAGTTTCAGTTACAGTTACTGCTCTTTCCATTTACATCGATATCATTGTTTTCTTCAGGTTTTACCTTGGGTGAGACACAGGGTTGGGGGTTTTTCTGTCGAATGTGGATTTAACTGTAATTACGCAGCTGGCACAGAATTCCTTTTCTTGTGTGAGCAGGGGGTTGGAGGAGAAATGATTGAATGAGTTTGCAGAAAGCAACTAGGAGGCTTTCTGGTCCCATGACCCCTTGATTCTGTGTCCTAAATTGCTGCCTCCTAAATGAGACTTTTTGTGAGCCTCCTAACTGTAAGTGTTCTCTCCCTCCTGAAATTTAATTTCTATGTATAATCTGTTTTGTATTTACTCAATGTACATAGTCTATCCTGCCACAGTCAATTAGAGGCTCTTTGAGGCCAGGAGCTGTTTAGGTTTGTATCCCCAACACCTGGCACATAGTAGGCACTTTTATGTTTGTCATAATCTTCACCAATGATGGCAGTACTCACTTCAGTGGGATGATAGATCTTTTGAAGTACTGATACTTGGAAGTATTAACTAAAAGTCTAAAATGTGGTTCGACGTCCTTGCTGATCTTGGATTTTCCTCCACTGTGTAAGTGTTGAGCATGCGGACTGGGAAGGGTTAAAATGTAGATGTGATAGTTTTTAAATTCGTTATTAAATGGAAAACACTTGCTAAGGGTTGAAAGGGGATGGTGTTCTGGAATTTGGGGTTTCGGGATAGAGTTGTGTCATTTTTGAAATTCAGATACTTGGCAGTCAAGTCAATTTGAAAATGAGGTAGAAAATGATTACTGAATTGATGAATCTTTTTTTATTGGATTCCTGTGATTTGGGTGGTATTGTATTAATTTCTGTGGTAACCAAGGATTTATCTTGAGCAATTGGTTTGTTTTGTTAAAGACATAAGGGTTCCTTTTAGTGACATGCCTTTTGGCTTTGACCCACAGGTAGTTGTTGTTTTTCATTTTTGATTTTTCTTTTAAGCAAAGGAATTTTTCCAGCATGACAAAACTGTAGGGCACATGCTGTCTCTATCCTTGGAAGGTGATTAACAATGATGATTTAGCTGTGCGTTGCAGAAGTAATTGTTTGAGAGAAGCACCTATCACAGAGTCCGAGTCAACCTGCCATATTGGTTGAACTTAAAATTTTTTAAGCCCTAAGTGAAAGCCAGTGCCTGCACTCAGCACATTAATCCGCTCCTTCAACCGGATTCCATCCCCTGCCAAAGTGCCTGCCAGTGAGTACTGCCCAGCCAGACGGAAAGGGAGTGCTGTAGGAAGACAGGCTAGGCGGTTGACAGGCATCAATGAGCTAGTGTGTTCAGGTGGACTCTATAAAAAGTTCCAAATAAAATGGACCCTTTTTCTGTGTGTGGGAGAGATGGACAGATCGACAGAGACATTCTGTTTTGCGAAGCCAGGACTGCTGGCAGCAGTAAAATCAGGAAGCACACCCAAACCCACACAGCTGAACTGTTTTTATTTGAAACTTTTACAGTCATCCTGAGTACTTTGGCACATAGACATGGGGGAGATTGTTTGCCAAACCTTTCATTGCCTCCTCTTCCTTTTGGATTTTTTGGTTGGCTTTTACTGGTAGGTAGGTAGACTGAGGTTTTGGCCTAGCTTTTAGGGGAGTTGCAGGGGGGAGTGGGCCCTAGACTCAGTGGGATTTTTTTCATTTCACCTTCATTGTATGAGTAGACTCCACTTCAGGGTGGGTTGGAGTAGTTTTAGGTTGACTTCAGACATTGTGTAAATGATACTTTTGTCCAGCTTATCAAAAGGGGTGACCTGCTAATATCCACTAATACATTTGACCAAAACATAATAGAAAATCACCCTATATAGCTTAATTGTCTTTCGATTTTTTCAGGCAATAATTTGGAGACCAGATTAGAAAATAAAGATGGTACCTCAGCACAGTACCTTCAGATTTGTGATAGTGTTAACTCAAATAAGGCACTTAAACAGAAGTCCAAGAGAAGGAAACGGGGAGAAAGCAGGCTATGGCAAACAGGTAAAATACTGGGTGTTGTGAATTGGAAAAGGGCTCCAAGTCAGGGGAGACCTCCATCCCACCTCCAGCACTTTGCTAACTGTGTGGCTGAGAGCAAGTCAGTTAGCGTCTCTGGACCTCATTTCAGCATCTCTCAAATGATGCAGTCGTACCTGTAGCTCTCCCTTCAGTAGCATTGTGAGGTACCAAGGAGACAGGATATGTAAAGTTCTTTGGAAAACATAAAGTAGAATCTATATATAGCAGTTATTATTTCAACAACAACTCAACCAAAAAAATCCTTGAGTGTGTAGTCATTCTCTCTCCACTTATTTTTGTGTGGTGGAGGTCACTATGTGTCTTTTCATTGTGTGACTGGTAGTGCTTGCACTTCGCTCTACTCCACGGCCTTTTCATGAGAGAAGATTTAGGTTGGTGATTTCCTGCTTGGAGGGTGTGATGTGGCTGGCCAGCGCACCACATTATAGAAACTGCTTTAAAAATAGCCATTTTCCTTAAGGAAGGATCTCCCTACCAGGCCTCCCCCACCACCCCCATACTGAGTGTATAGGGAACTTCAACTAATATTTGCAGTGCTACCTATCTTCAAATCCATTGTTGAACTGTTGTCACAACTTTATTTTTTTAATTCAGCTATTATAATTGGTCCTGATGGGCAGCCCTTGACTGTATACCCTTGCTATATTTGTGGGAAGAAGTTTAAATCCAGAGGATTCTTGAAAAGACACATGAAGAATCATCCTGATCATATGATCAAGAAAAAATACCAATGTACAGATTGTGACTTCACAACTAGTAAGAAAGTAAGTTTTCATAACCACTTAGAAAGCCATAAGCTTATAAATAAAGTTGATAAGACCCTTGAACTTACAGAATACACAAAAAGATACAAAGAAGCTAGTCCGCTGAGTTCAAATAAACTTATATTAAGAGACAAAGAAGCTAAAATTTATGAATGCAAATTTTGTGACTATGAAACTGCAGAAAACGGACTGCTGAATAGACATTTGCTTGCTGTTCATAACAAAAATTTTCCTTATGGTTGTGTTGAGTGTGGGAAGGGATTCCGGCACCCCTCTGAACTTAAGAAGCACATGAGGACCCATACAGGGGAAAAGCCATACCACTGTCACCACTGTATCTTCCGGTGTGCTGATCAGTCAAATCTGAAAACTCACATGAAAGCCAGACATGGCACTGTCTTACCATATAAATGTGAGCACTGTCCTCAAGCTTTCTCTGAGGAAGCTGAGCTCCAGCAGCACCTGGAATTATTCCAAGGACATAAAACACACCATTGCCCTCATTGTGACCACAAGAGCAGCAATTCAAGTGACCTTAAGCGACATATCATTTCTGTCCATACTAAAGATTTCCCTCACAAATGTGAAGTGTGTGAAAAAGGCTTTCATCGTCCTTCAGAGCTCAAAAAGCACGGTGAAACCCATAAAGGTAAAAAAGTCCACCAGTGTAGACACTGTGAGTTTCAAACATCTGATCCCTTTGTGCTCAGTGGCCATATCCTCTCTGTTCACACTCGAGACCTTCCTTTCAAATGTAAAAAGTGCAAGAGAGGATTTAGGCAGCAAACTGAACTTAAGAAGCACATGAAGACCCATAGTGGAAGGAAAATTTATCAGTGTCAGTATTGTGACTACAATACTACAGATGCCTCTGGCTTTAAGCGACATGTTATCTCCATACATACAAAAGACTACCCACATAGATGTGACTACTGCAAAAAGGGATTCCGTAGGCCATCAGAAAAAAATCAACATATAATGAGACACCATAAAGAGACCGTTATATAAAATTATATATATATATATATACACACACACATATATATTACATATATACATATATATATATATATGTATAAATAAGAAAGGAGTTTAGAGACTAAGATACATTAATTGGAGAAAAAGAAAACCTCATGAACTGTTTCTCCTGGTTCCAAAGTTTGATATTAAATCATAACCTTACATTCTTTGTATTAAAAGTCATAAAAAAAAAAAAAAAAAGTCTTAGGGTTGCCAGTGATCTGATAGCCCTGAGAGTTGCTCATCACAGCTTGAGCACCGTAGACAGTGGTTAGAGAGTTCCACAGAATGGTTACAGAAAAGACTGCTGAATGTTTATTTCATAGTATTATATGCATTGTTAGGCGGGGGGGAGGGGCAGAGAGAGAGAACTGATGGTGCTATTTGGTTTATTCAAACATCATTTGCCTTCATGGTGCTGGGATGGGAGGTCAGTAACTTTTCTAGAACAACCAAGCTGCCCAGCTTATGCAATTTAGGGATTGGGAAGGTGGCAGTTGATCAGCGATCACTTAGTCATTGGGTTTTTCTGTAATACCTGGAATGGGTTTCCAGAAATGGTTGAAGTTTTGTTTGTCCAGTTTTAAAAGCATTTCATTCAGAAGCTTTTTAGGTTAGTTCAGTACTTTTAAAAGCTGAATTTCAGAGCTGCTAACCTATTTTGTTACTAGATAGGTTGTTTAAAAGCTAGCATTAAATGAGGAGGTCAGGGGCAATATTCCATTGCTGAGAGTAAGGGAGAGAGGGGGTTGTGTAGATGATGATTTCCCTTTTGCCTGATGCTACAGTTGAATGTTCTGGCTGGCACAGTTTGCAAAAGTATATTTGCATCTGATGTGGATTTGGAAGAAAATGGATGCAGCAATAGTGTTGCAGTTCAGCACTATTTTTCCTTAATGTTTTAGGAGCTTCTTTAAAAGTTTAAAAAATGGTTCAAAGAACGCAACTTTCTTAAATGCCACTAAATATTTAGAGGTTCTTTAGGACAGTTTTAGCAGATGGGATTCTTCTAGTCCTACTTGACTAACAATTAAAAGGTGCAATTTTATGCCATTGTTGAAAATACCGATTTTATAATATAAACATGCATTTTCATTTTGAGGCAGTAGTTATGCAGTATTTAACCAGAATAATATGCTGCCAGTAGAATTAATTCAAAGATGGATCTTCAGTTTACAATGTATACATTTAAAATACGCATCCGTTTAAATGATGCTTTGTGTTAGCATGCTGCAAATCAAAATGGCATTTAATAGAACAAAGCTGATCTAGGGCTATTTAATGAAAAACCTATTCATAAATGTTATGCATATAATGTGTATGTTTTACTTTTTTTAAGTTGCTTCATGTTTGCACACTGCTGTTGTACACATGATAAAAAAAAATGGAAATTTTAACTTCATTCTCTAGCGTGGCTTTGTAATTCAGACAACCTTCATCCTTTTGGTTTTGTACCAGATGAGAATCAGTTCTTTGAAAATAAATTTTTTATCTTTCTGAAACCTTAAAAGGTTAAATTTGGAATTTGAAACAAACAAGGTTTTATGTGTCTGTAAATGATACACACGCTGTAACATGAAATTGTCACTGTTACGTGGGACTGTTATTTCTAAATGTTATTGTAATGAGCATACAATAAAAAGTATCTCTTGCACTTCATGCTTTTACGGAATCTTTCTTGATTAACTTCTGATGCCTGAAGAATTTTTGCATTCATTTTGTTGAAATATTTCTCTCTTTAGGAAATGACTTTGTTTCAAATTGCTCACTAGTGTTTTTTTTTTTTTGAAAGAAATCTTCTTTTCCAATTTTATTGATTTAAATTGGGATCAAAATATGATATACATTGTCAGTAGTGCAGGTCACAGTGATCCTGCCAACTAATGTTTCCACCAGCTTGTTGAAGTGGCGCCTGACTGGAAAACCAAAGGATCTAGTGCTCTGCAACTAAGTCAAATTTTATGCTCATCAGATTGAAAAAAAGAGAGATGAATTCAACTTTGTTGAAATAGGAATTTAGAAATCTAGTTCTCTGGTTTTACAGATGAGACCACAGGCTCACTGGGAATACTCTTTACCAAGTATCCAGACCCTGAAGCACAGGCTTAGATGACTTTAATGTATTTGTCTAAAGGCAATATGGCATAGCAGAAAAACAAAACATTAGACTAGGAGCCAGGAGACCTGGCTGTGTCCTTGAGAGTCTGTGTGACCTGAGGGTAAGTTGACTCAATCTTTCTGGAGGTCAGATGAGGGTGGAGGAAAGGAGAATAGAATGAATCGTGTCTTCGGGGCTTCCAGAGAAAGAATTCTGTACCCTAGAGCTTTGGATAGATGGGAGAAGTGCTTCTGGACAGAAAGTCAGGCCTACTTGGTGAGGGGAGGGGCCTTCCTCTCCCTGGTGGTGTTCAGGTGGTGGCTGGGTTTTAATACAAACTGCGATTGTCTTCTGCGGTCCTTTCCGCTTCCAAGATCCTGTTACTTCATACAATTTACTTGAAAATTTTCCATCTCAATTAGCCTATTCTGGAAGCCAGGTAATTTCTCATGTTTCATTTAATCTCTTATTCTATGTAGCTCAGATATTTAATAATCGTTCTGATTTTCAGAACTTTAAAGTTTATGTGGTTAACCAAAATGTGTGTAAAATTTTTGAAATAAGATGTCTGCGGAAATTGTCATCCAGAAGCAGAAAACAGGTCGCTTTGCCAGTTATAGCATGTCCAAGAAGAGGTACCAAATACCATCACTTGGGGTAGTTTTCCTTTTCTTTTCTTTTTTTTAAGGTAACTGCACCTGTGAATGTGGACTCAAAGTGGGGAGTAAAATTTCACTGCTCCTTTCCTTTGAACGTACAACATCTCAAGAAAGACCACTCACAATATACATTTTTTTTTTCATATGCCATTTCCAATTTATTAAATTTGAATAGGTTAACAAAGAGAATGAAATCCCATTTTGACACTATCTTTGCAATTTGCAGAGATTTAGCCTGTGAAGAGAAAAGGCCTCTTCAGCCAGTTTCGTTATTCTTCATCACAAATTGAATTAAGAACCTCACACCTTTAAATGGTAACATACAGGAGCATCACTATAACACACACCATGGAATTTTGGAAGGTGGGTCCACCTTAGACTGTCTCTGGTTGGTTTTGTTCTTCTCTGGGGAGGGGAGAGGGGGCTGTTTTTTTTTTGTTTTTTTTTTTTTTAAATTTGCAGCAGCCGAAAGGCCTTGATTGTAATATAGCAACAGCATTGTCTTGTGGCATGGACTCAGTTGGCAGGTGTAGTGACACACCCTGAAACCAAGTCACTGCTCTGTTTCTTGTCTCAAGGTAAGAAAAATGATACCTGTTATAATTTTCAAACACTGAGAGAACTGTTTACCAGCTCACTTCATATTGTCTGTTTAATTCCTTCTTCTAAGGGTTTTTATCACAGTTACATGGAGGAATTGCCTATAGGGCCCATGACTTCTTGTGTCATGGAAAAAATCCAGAATGCTTAAACCTGCATTTGCTACAATTCCAAAGTTCATCAGATTTAGATGGAACCACAAACCATAACCTTTTAAGTATGTGTCCAATAATATTTCCTTATAAACCACCACACTGAAAATGAATATAACAATTAGGTACAGAAAGTATGTATTGCTTTTTCTACCATTTCTTAAAATGGGAACTTGATAAAATGCAAAGTGTTCATTGATTTTGCGAGTTCTGTGTGAATTTTGCTAGAAATTGATGTTTTATCAGGTTTAAAAAAGTATTTCCAGGTTCATGAGTAGTAGAGGTGTGAGGGGGGCAGCGGGTTGTACTCTTAAATTTCAGTTAAAACGAGAAAGAGTTATTTACTATTTCCGTGTCCATTTTAGACATTGCAGTGAAGTTATTTGTAGCTAGAAATTAGGGGTTTACTCATTTATGTGAGGGAGGGGGCATTACTTGAAGTCCTTTAGTTCTTGGAACCACCAAAGGACTATGTAAAGTTTGGTGAAATTATCTTACTTGTTAAGGAGTTGAGAACTCTCAATCCTTTTTCACTGCTAAGTAAAGCAAACCATCACCTGAGATGTCTTAAAGAGATAGATACATAATCTATAGCTTCCCTTTCATTCATAAGGAGAAAAAAAATTAATCCAAGCTATGTAGACACAAGTACTAATTAAATTGTTTTCCCTCCACCCCTACCCCTTCATCAAAAGTACTATCTAAAGTAAAGGTGCATACTCTATCTAATCTGGGGGAAAATAATAGAATGGAATAAAGTCCCTGTCCCAAAAAGCCAATCCAGTGTCTTTGGAAGTATCTTTTCTAAGTAGTAGAGCATGCTCTTGGTATGTCTGAAATAAAAACTTAAGCACTTCCCTGATTCCATTGTAAATACGTTAGAAAAAACTGCCATCCACAAATCTATTTTCATTAGGCAGGTTAGGTGTTATTATGGTTCAAAATTTGGATTGACCTTCATTTCTCATATTTTCCAAGACATAAGCAGTAACATAGTCATTGCGTGAACTTCGAACAGCAGGTGCTGAATTCATGGCTGGGGGGGGGAAATAAAAAAACAAAACACAATTGTTTAAAGCCTGTTCCTGCTTAGCTGAAAACATGGTTTTCTCCTATCAATCTGTTAACAAATCAGTGGTAGCATCCATGGACTTTGTGCGTTTACTGTGCAATCAGTGCCTTATTTGTTTGGATTTAATTCAGACTGGGCTCTTTTACTATCGGGAGTTTCAACTCCACAGTGTTAGTAGTTAAGTATCCTCAACATAAAAAAAAAAAAAAACAAGCTTGGGTAAATCAGTAAATGCTGTCTATCTCCCTCTCAGCAGTAAGGAAGCTCGATGTATCGCTTTTCCTTCCTTGCTACCTAAGGCATTGCAGACAGGACTGAAAGGTCCTCTGCTTAACATCCTTGTCTTATGCTCAGGCAGCTCCAATCAGTGAATGAAGCAAAGAATGCTGCCCTGTAGGGGACATGATTTAAGAACAACAAAGGGCTGCTGCTCAGTTTTCGTGGGCAGATTAAGATGGGAAAGTTCAGGTGCTCGCCTGCCAATCTTGGAGCCAACGGAATTCTATCTTGTTTACCTCTCTTTGGGGCTTATTGACCCTGCTATCTTACCACAGATAACTTGAAGTAGATTGTAAGCATGGCAGATAGAGGAGCCTCATATTTCTGAAACTTTGGTCAATGGTGATTTTCCCTGGAACAGGTTATGGAGGCACCAGGGTGTGGTGTTCCTGGAATCAGGATTCCAGTTCAAGAACAACTTAACACTACGTGATCTCTTTGAGCTGCAGTTTCCTCATCTGGAAAACAGAGCCACTGGTTGCTATGTATTTTATAGTTTGCTCTTAAAAAGTGTGTGATTGATAAATGTCCTAAGAATAAACCCATGAGTTGCTGTTTTTACCATGTCCAACCAAGTCAGGTAAGTCAAATCACCTACTGCTCCTGGTTGCTAAGGATTCTTTTAAAATCCTAAAATTAGTGGTCCATGGTCATTTTTATATGCCACATTCAAGACTGCAAGACAAATAATGGAGGGGGTGTCATAATAGAACTTGAAAGAGAAACCATTTTCAATACTAACAAAGTAAATTCAACCATTTAGAGAAAATGTATATGCATTACCTGTGTTTGTATGTTAGAAATGTTTCTAACACAGTGTATGTGTATATAAAATACAATTTGGGAAATTTTTCTTGCTCTTTCCTGACTGAAAAATGCCCCTTAGTGGTGCTTTGCTTTTTGCTGTAAGAGAGAACTTACACTAGTCCATTTGTCTTCTGTCTTTTCAATGACAATGGTTTGGGTGTCACTGCCTGGGGGGATGTATTCGTAGTCATCGTAAAGGAGCCCCAGAATTGGATATTGGGTTCTGTATCTAGTGAAAAGAAAAGGTGATTTTACAAACCAGTGTTTTGTGCTTTCTTTTTTTTAACAACCCCCCCACACACACACACACGCACAGAGCTTCTTTCCTTCTAAGGCCAAGACTTGATTCCATTTTGACTGTAACATCCCTGGTTTCTCATTCACCCCTCACATTCCTGAAACACCTTTGTTTTGACTATGTGGGTACTGTTATTCTCTAGCCACAAAATGTTTTTCAAACAATTGTGTACAAGAGCATATTGCAGATAATTAAGAAAATGTGATGGGGATTTCGAAAATGACTACTTTAAAGGAGATAAGGTTTAAGTAATGTCAGATGACACACTTCTATTCCTAACAATGGAAAACTTGGACTTAAAACTTTCTTAAGAGCGAATTTGCTGTCGAAAAAGCTGGACAGAAGATGCCTCTGTAAAGAAAGCCAATAAAGAGTAATCAAACCAAGTGCTTCTTTACTCTACATTCATTAACAGGGTTTGGGGGGAGAGAGATGGAGAATCATTAGGAAGGGCATAACCATGGAAGAAGTTATTGTAACATGAGAACAATCTGGTTTTGAAATATTAGGAAAACACATTACTTTTTAGTGGTGGTGATAGTGGTCCTTCCAGTGCCTGAGGCCTGATTATGGGAAGAATATTTTTCTTGTCTCAATTTGGAGAGTTCCTTACAAATAAAAGAGATTACAATCATGTAAAGAAAACCATACCCCATGTATTTATTGCTATTGAGTATAAGTACCTCAAGGAAGTTTCCTAAGGAGCACCTATTTGGAGCTTCCAATCTAAAACGAGGTGGTAGATGTTTTTCATAGCTAGTACCTAATTAACCATCTTGTAATATTTAATATAATCCCAGCAGCTAAGGCATAATAACTCTTAGCCCACATTTTCTGTTTTAAGTTTTTATCATTTAAAATTGCTCATTAACCCTTGAAATTTGGGTCAAGAGCTTTTCCACAGGTACCTGATTCCAACTCCTATAAAAAAAACTATTGAATTCTTCCATAGTTTTCTCTCAATCTATGGGAAGTATTTCTGTTAAGACCTCCTTCTGATTCACCTCTGACTGCCGCTTTATGAGGCAATCCTTCTCTTCCAGCAAACTGGTCAATTCGTGAAGCTTGAGCTGGTAGTCACTACAACTTCCTTCCCTTCTTGAAACATCCTTTTGGAACTGGTTCAGTTGTGCCTAAAGTTAAGGAAAAATAGGACAGCATGAGATCAATAGCAGTAGGCCCAAATTAATGCTTTTGGAATGAGCTTTCTTGGAATGCTCCTAGAATACAACTTGGAAACCAAGCAATGATCCCTCTCTGCTGTAGTAGTAGTAGTAAGGCAGTCTTGAGGTACTAGGGCAACAAATTTCCAACCCTGTGGCCATTCTGTTTACATAAATGGATAGCGCGTTACTGGGCCATGATGTCTAGGTAGGAGGTGCCCCACTGTATAATGCCACTACTAGTCATGAATCCAGAGGGCAACTCCATTCCCTAATGAGACAACAGAACAAAGAGCTCCTACTAAACAAAGTCTCCAATTTGAACGTACCCTAAGCTTGCAGATTTCTCTATCCTTCTCCATTCTCAGATTCTTCACCATTTCCATGTAATGGCTCCCAATCTCATCCATCTTAGCCTGTAGCACAGGGCCCGTACAGGTCTCAGACACCTACACGGGACAAAAATTACTCTGTAATTAGCATCTTATTTAATAGAAATTCATTTCAATAACAATTTAAGATAATTACAAAGTACTTTGCACATAACCCTTTGAGGATTTGCTATTACTTTAAAACAGGAACAGTGAGGCTCAGAGGTGAACTGATTTGCCTATAGCTAGTAAGTATAAGAGCCAGGGTTTGAAAATGGGCCTCAAGACAAAGTCTGTTCTTTACCTTATGCTGTACTTTCTCTACCCAACAACAGTTTTTAATACCTGTATTCTAAGGTTTTTATTCTCTTGTTCCAGATTTCTTTTACAATATTCTAATTCCTTTAGTCGATATTCCATATCTGACTGGCCATGTCGAAGAGAAAGAATGGTCTCCTCCAAGGTCCGACATTTTGAAGTGGAGTCTTGTAGTCCTTGCTATAAGGAAAGAAAATATCCATGAGACAAAGACATTAAAACTAGCCAAATCTTATCCCATCAATTGATGGTTTAGAGTTAACTGACTGATTTAAAGGTTTCGCTATGGCCAATTTTTTTTTTTAACTGTTCTTGCCACTACCTGGTTTAGAGTTGAGGGAAACACCCTAAAAGTCTATCCAGTCTTAACTCATTTCACAGATAGGAGTGATGGACAGGAGTACTGATAAAATAGAGCAGTAACTTCTTAGTGATCTAGTAGTTCGCTTAGTAGTAATCTTTCTCACAAGGGAGACCCTAACACTTGGACATGAGGAAACTCCAGTCATACCATTTGATATTGATGACCCTGGCCCACCATGCCCTATGTCCCAACCAAAATGTGGGGAGGGTTCAACCAATATTACTTTATTTTATCATCACATGGACCCTGGGAAGAAGGTGCTATTATTAACCCATTTTACAGATAAGGAAACTGAGCCAGACAGGTTAAATGACTTGGCCAGGGTCATCACACAGGTGACTTAAGGTGAAATTTAAATTCATGTCTTCCTAATTCCAAGTCTAGAACTCTTATCTACTACAGCACCAAGCTGAACTTAATCTTCTCGGGCCTTGGTTAAGATTTAAACAGATCTTCAGACTCCGAAAGGCTACGTTCCAATCATCATACCATGCTGAGGACAAGAGGCAGGAGGAGTCCAGGAGGTATCTTCCACTTGGGATTTGTTAAGTTTGGATATTATCTAGAACTATGTAGTCCTTGTCTCTGGTGACATAGTTCGTTGAGGTCTTGCTAGTATTTTATATCTGAAATGAATAAGGGGCTTGATTTCCCCAAATAGCTTCCACTTACCGCAGATAGTTGAGTTTTGATTAGAACAAGTTGGTCCTAAATTTCAACTTTGCTTAAAAACATCTGTACCATAACTACATCTAGAAAAAGGTGTCATCACCAGAAGCCTTGGCCTACCTGCTGCTGGCGGTTATTGGCTCTCACGGACGCCAAGAGTGCTTCATACTCCTTTATCTGAGTCTCTTTGAATGCCAAATCTTTCTCAAGTCTTATCTTGTCGTTTTCCAGTGCCTGTGAGAATAAGGTATTTGTTATGCTCTCAAATGATATAAATTTGTTGATGGTCACAGAAATAATGACTTTAAACAAAATTTTCAAAGTCTTGTTAAAAATACTGAAAGTGGAAAAAAAAAATCTGCATGTCACACAGTTTGGATAAATTGACTAAGTTCAATAAAATAGAATATTTTAGTGGTTTCTTCTTCCCTCCCCCAATTGACACATATAAAGATCTCCCGCTAATGATTCCCCACAGGTGGTGAATTTTCAAATTATTTTTACCCCTTTACCCCTCAACAATCATATCCAAAGTCTTCTGGAAAGTACTGGCTATGGAAAAAGCATTTCAGAAAGCACTTTGCTAATTAATAGAGAATATAAAAGATTGAATTATTAAAAAGGCTTCCAAATTACAACAAAAGAGTACTATGCTATATATTGGGGATAAAAATACGAGTAAAATAATCTTAACTTGCAAGCTTACGTTTAATATAGGAGATGCTATGCCCATATGTAAATATATACAGCATAAATATAAAATGAATAAATATGTACAATGTGGATTAGAAAGAAGGGCACTAGTGGCTGGGGGGGGGGGAGGTCAAACAAGCCCACGTAGAAGATGATGCTTGAATCGTATCTTGGACATCTTCGATACTGAGACAGAGGTGAGGAAGAGGGAGTGAATTCCAAGAGACAGGAGTGTCCTGTGTGGAACAGAGATCGGTTTTGCTGGACTGCAAAGCACAGGAAGGGAAAGAAGTCTTAACAGACTGGGAAGATGATATAAAGAGCTAAAACACTAGATAACAGGATATGAAAAGATCCCTTGACAGGCTTGAGTATTGGGCTGAATGTAATACAATAAAGTCCAACAAGAATAAATGTTTAGTTTTATACTTGGGTTCAAAAAGTTGATTTTCCAAGGGAGGAACGGTTAAAATACATTTTGTCCAAAAAAAAAAAAAAACAATCAGGGCAGTTGGTTTAGTGGACTTCGAGCTCAATATGCCTCACTGGTGCAACTCGACAACCAACACAGCTTCCAGAAATGAGGTGATCAGGCCACTGTGCTCTGTCCTGGCCGCTCACAAGCACCACGGTTTTTAGAGTAGCTGGCTGAGGTGAGCAACCAGGACGGTTAGTAGCCTTGAGGTTACATCCTATAAGGATCTTTTAACCAGGAATGTTTATTTTCTCTGGAGAAGAATCAGGAGACCTAATAACCATCCTCAAGCATATGTGAAAAATTGTCACGGGGAAAAAGGATTAAACTATTGTTGTGTTTGGCGCCCAAGAACCAGAAGCAATGGGTAGAGGTTGCAGGGGCAAACACAGGCTTGATGCTGGTGGGGGGGAGGACTTCCTCCAAATTAGAGCTGAAGGTAGAGTGTTCAAGTGCAGAGAAAGTCCACTGGTTAGAGCTTTATAGTAAAGATTCACTTTGTGGCCACTGAGGTCCCTTTTGACTCTGAAATTCTGTGATTCTTAAGTTATATAAACATGGTCTGTTTAGATGATAGAAAGAAAACCAGTCTTACTGCCAAATCATTTTGGAGATGACCCAGCTCCTCCCGTATATTGCTGAAGGTGGACAGCACCAGCCGGTGAGACTTGTTGGAGATCTCCCTCATCTGGAAGAGAAGAATGTATTCATTACCTCTTTTTGAGGGGGAGGGGGGGCATTTTTAGTAGGAATGTTCTAAACAGCCAATGTGAAGAAGTGAGAGTAGCAAGTCCTTGTGCCCAGATGCTTTCCTTTATGAGTGAATTTTATTGGCAACCTCATTAACAACTTCCTTGGTGGAAAGATGATCTTTGCATTAACGACTTCCTTTGCGGAAAGATGACCTTTGCATGGGTCATTTTGGGCAATCTGAAATCCACAATAAAGCCAGTTAATTGAAAGGCAAAGAGTCTCTGCTTTTGTTTCTTCTGAAGCAAAGCTTCCTCAAGCAAATTACTAAATGTTACTTTCATTGTTTCTTTAACCAATTACTATGAACATCCAACCTCAGAAAAATAAAATACATCCCCTTAGGATTACTGTTAAATGCAAAAATTGTGTGTGAAGTCACCGCAGGTTTTCTTTTTGTCAGGGATTTCAAGACCACGTCAGAAAATCCCCTCTACCAGGGCAAATTGGAATTTCCTAGGGCACTGAAAAGTTAAGTGACTCACCCAAGGCCAACAGAGCCAGGATATGTCAAAAAAGGGCTCAAGCCCAGAGCTTCTGATGTTGAGGTTAGCCCTATCCACTAGTCCACTCAAGAATAGTGAAATACCACTAGGTTTAAGTCTGACTGGATTATAAATATATACTAATTTCAAATGAAGTGAGAAGGCCCCTCCAGTATATTCAACTCATTTATTTAAAAGAGAAAAGGTAAGTGGATTCATACTCTAAATGAGGGAGGGGCAGCAATCATTGTGAAAAGACCTGGCAAGTTTTTGGTTCCTTCCAAACATCAGAGGTGTAGCCTCTACCCTCACCTTACTCTTTCCACAACCCCAATCGTGGTCTTGCTAAAAGCCATCTTAAACATTAAGAGATTATTAACTCCTGGTCTAAGAATTGAGAAAACACAGTAGGTCAGAGAAGTCTAAAATGTGCAATATTAGCAATAGGACTAGGAAGGAAACCCACCTGGCAAGCCAGCCAAGTGGCTAGATGGGAACCAAGGCAATTGCGGAAGAAAAGAAAGAATCTTTTGCAACAGACCAATGCCGAGTATCAAGTGTAAAGTTCTACAAGCCATGTGTCAGATCAAAGTTTTGGATAGAGTAGCTGACTTTTACTCCTTCACATGCTTATGAGAATCAGTTGGCCCACTGTCCAAGTAAGGCAGGCTTCTGAGATTTGGGGAGGGGGAGGGAGTACACCCTGGTTCATCTCACCTGCAGAATGTATCGGATTTGTTGTTTTGTGAACTCTGACAGCCCTTTAGGAATCAAGGCTTCGATGTCTTCCAACTATAAGAGAAAGAGAAAAGCCAGACGGCCTGATTCATTTGGGGGACCAGTAGTTCAACCAGCTTGATCTAGCTGGGGGGGAAGGGAGGGGGAAGGGGAACATGGATCATCTGAGGGGGTCCGTTAACTGAGACCCCCAAAAAATAAGATTTTATTTTCACTCACCTCTAACTGAAATTTAGCATGTCTTTCAATTATTTTAAAACATGATTCTGAGAAAGGTTTAGAGTCCATAGGCTTCACCAAAGGGGTTCCAGGACACACAAAAAGGTTAAGAAGCCCTGATCTAATCTTAGAAGTTCTTAATTTTTTTTTCCTAGTGACACACCAGTCTAAAAGGTGTTGTAAATTTACTATATAATCCAAAGGATGAGCAAATTCAAGATGTAGGAAACTAAATTGGGAAGGAAGACAACTGAAAAACTAATTGGATGTTCAATCATTTGGCAAATATTGACAGAGGGTCTACAGGTATGGTCCTGTTAAATATCTGAAAAAGAGTGATTTTAGGATTAAAGTCTATTCAACACTATCCCGTGATGGGCTTGTTCATCACATGCTTTCAACAAATGATGCTGTTAACTGGATGATAAATAAGATTCATTTATGGGGAAATAGGAAAAAAATTACAGAATTGCTGCAAACCTTGCTGGAAATATAGGCCTGTGTGCTTGCTATGTTCTGAGTAAGAAACATCTCTCATCTAGTACTTGAAGATTTATAAAGCTTTTTCTTCACCACACCCTTGTGCCCTAGGGTTTACTCCTACCTTACAGTTGGGGAAATCGAGACTCAGGTTCAGTGACACCTGCAACCCATGGTTGCACAGCTATTTAAGATTTGAGTCAAAATTTGAATCCCAGGTCTCCTGAGTACAAATCTAGCACTACCCACTGTACCATACTGCCTCAGTACTCATTTTTAGGCAATTTAGGACTTATTGAATAACAGTAATTAAAATATTCCACTAATGTTTAGAAACAGATGGAAATTTATACAAAAGAAGCAATTACACATTTTGTTACACTAAAATCAATGTTCCCTCTCCTTAATCACTTGTGCCACAAAAGACAATTATTAACAATATTTGCACTTGTGAAAGAATTAAATCACTAAAGAATTTTGCTCAAAGTTGTAAGTGATTTTGGCATGACACAGTGTTTCAGAAGATCATTCACATTAAAATACCATTTGCTACTTATTTAGTTGCTAATAACTTAGATTTCAATTTTCTATAGCATATGTTCTGAGGTAATGAAATTCATTATGAAATATATGAAATACATGAAATATAATGAAAATCATAAGGGGACAGCTGTTCAAAACGTTTTCTATTTTCAGCAAGTACAAAGTAATCAGTGGTTATACTATTTTTATAGACCAAATGCCCATTATTCACTCACTTATCCTGGAAAGAACATTTTGGGGTGATAACGCTGGGTTAAAGAACATACCCAAAGATTCTACTTACACAGCACAGTGTAATTACTAGTCAATAACCATCGATTTTTAAACTTGTGTTTCCTTACCTCGTCTGTAGAGTCAAAGTCCCGTTTACTACAACATTGAAGAGAAAATGGACAGTCAGTAAGTTCTTACCATTAGCATTACTGCTTTCTTTTAGCTGATTTCTGAGTCAGTCTAATCACAAAAGAAGCAGTGCGTGAATAAACCCGGTAATAAACAAAAGGAAAGGCCTGTCAAGAATAGCAGAAATGGTGGAGCTGGGCAACACTTCACACTTAATAATACAGGGTCCAGTCTCGGCTTTAAGGTTAGCCCAGTGCTTTTCCTACTTACGAGGTAGGAGAGTCAGGTAACCACAAGCAGGACATCTGCCTTAGCCAGCCCTTCCTGAGGCATGTCAGTGGCAGTGACCCAGAAAGTCACTGACAAAGGGAAGTATTTTTCGTGCTTCAGGTAATCTGTTGGGCTGTTGGACTTTGTAGTGCCTTCATGAACAGAATATGGGGATAAGCTGCACTAATTTACTTTCTAGGTTACTGTGTTTAGAATAATCCGAAGTCAATTTCAATCTACCTCACTCATGAAAGTGCTCCCCAATTCAGCCCCCTCAATGCCCTCCCTCAGCCAGTGCCCACCAGGGATATTAAACCTGTTCTCCAAATATACCAATAGAGTAACAGGATACTAAGGTCAGCATAAATGGTAAGGACCTTCAAGGCTAGTACCCATCACGTGTACATATATACATACATACACACCTATATACACACACATACATATACAACTATTCTCTATTGGTTTGATAGATTTTGTTGCTGTTTTTAAAAACTGATCACCTAACAAAACTTAATATAATGAAGATAAATATAAATGCATGCATATAAAAAGCAATAACATATATACATACATACACATATACACATATATGTGTGTGTGTCTCCAACCCTAAAACAGTAGATTTGAAGGCCTGTGTGGAAATCTCTCATGGCCAAAAATGGTGATTGGGAGTAGGTCCTTACCACAGAAAAAGAACTACTTGCTCTGAGCCCTGTGGTGGCATTTGGCGTGGCCTGCAATAACTAAAAAGAGCTCCATGCAGCTACTACAGAGGAGCCAGTGGGCTTCTCCGGGCACTGCAGCACTGAACTCTGGCTTGACAGCACTCAGGAGGCCCGTTGTATCCCCAGCTCTGTAACCCCAGTATTATAATGGTTAGCACACAGTAAGTATTCAGGAAGTGTTTATGGAGTTGTTCAATTGTTTTTCTGTGTTAAGGATGCCCACAATGACTTTTTGGCAGTAAGAAATTTCCACAGATCTTTCTTCCCATGAATACCTTAAAAAAACAGTAGATATAACACCTTGAGTTGAGAGCAAGAAAGTAATCAAAATGTACCACTCCCTACCACCACCACCCCCCTTATCCTCTTCCTTCCGACTCTTTCAAAATCATTTCTTTCCCCTAATTTCCAAACCAAAATTTTCTAGCCTTCTGCCATTTTGAGTTTGGGAGGGGAACAGAAATGAAGAGTCAAAAGTCTCCAAGCTGAAAGGGCCCTCAGATCATCTACTTCACTACGCACCTGACCTAGAACTCCCCATTGCAACATACCAGAGCAATGGTCATCTAGCCTTCTGTTAAAGACCTCCAGGGAGAGGGAAACCTCCCATCTCTTAAGGCTTTCTAGTCCACTTCTGGACAGCTCTAACTGGTAGCAAGTCTTCCCTTATAGCAAGGTGAAATTGGCCTCTTTGCAACTTCTCCCATTGGTCCGAGTCCTGCCCTCTGAAGCCAAAAAGGACAAATAGAAACCTTCTTGTGCATGGCTGCCCTTTGCAAATGCACCCAGCTATTGCTTTCCTGCCCAGTCTTATCCAGCTTAAACATCCCTGGTTATTTGAGCTGATCCTCGGATGCCATGATCTTGAGGCCCTTTCACTACCATGGTCACACTTCAGCTTGCTCAGATGTGTTGCTCCAAATAGGAAGTGGTACTCCAGCTGTGATCTGACCAGGGAAGAGTAGTACATCAGGAATATCACCTCCTTATTCCTGGAAACTTTATGCCTTTTAATGTAGCCTAAGAATGTGGGATGAGAGCTGGCAGGTCATTTAGTCCAACTCTCTCATTTTACAGATGAACTGAGGCCCAGCAAAAGGAAATGACTTGCCCAAGGTCACACGGGCAACGTCAGATGCGGGTCCTGTGACTCCAAATCCAGTGCTTTCTACTACATCACATTCCCATATGTCTCAGTACTCACATATGATATATACAAACATATGAAGTGATGAGGTCAATCTTCATGTATGGATTGTGGGGATGTACATATTTCCACAAAAATCATATAATATCTAATGTAACAAAGCTCCTTGATAAGTAGAGAGATAATCAGATAGCACATGTTTACAATACCTTCCTCCTATTTTTTGCAAATGCTCTAATAAGCAGTGATACAGGTCTGTGTTCTTGCGTCTCAGGTCAGCAAGCAATTCTCCAAAATATTTGGGGTCCAGTTTTTCAGGGCCATCCTCTTGAACAACTGTCACCTGAAGAAAAAAAAAAGTCACAGTTGTAGAAATCGGCTTTTTAAACTTCATAAATGTTTGGATGACAAACGAAAAGCACTTCATTCATGTGACCAGCTCATTCTAAAGTCTTTTTCTGACCCAAACCACTAAATGTTTTGGGGGTTTGGGGTCACAGAACCACGTTTTCCAATGCTATAACTCCGGGGGGCAAGTTTGGGTTCTTGCTGTATTTAAGACTTAGTGATCTTGTGGATGTGAAATCTGAGCAATTTCTCTAAGAAATTCTAGAATGAGTGATTTCAAATGGTGGACCAACTTCATTCAAAATCTCTAAATTGGCCATCATCATCATTTGTCTTAGTGACCCTTTGGGAAAAAAAAAATACAGGTATAACTGCTCTGAGTTCTACTGCATACATGGCCCAAGACAGTTTCAGTTGAACTCAAATCTTTGTGGTGAAAGCCAAACTGATTTACTGGTCAATCTTACACTTAGATCGTATGAACTTCCTCAACCCAATGTGTTTTTCTGTTAAGTCTTGCTGGACTTACTGCACTAATCATCTGAACCACACATCCAGGCAATTTGACATAGAAAAGAGGGGCTCTGGGCTAAGTTCAAAAGTACCTAAACGTCATGGACATCATTGGATATCCTGAGTATACGCAACACTAAGAGAGATTTCCCAATATCCTGGATCAGAAACAATCAGTTTACTTCACATCTCAACATTTTTTTTCCATCTTGCTGAAGATCTGTCTTCTGGCTGGCTGGAGAGGAGGGCAGGAAGAGACACACTCAGGCATCAACTACATTTCCTTTGAAACCTGGGCTAAGACCAGCATCTTGACTACTAAAGGTGTGAATAATACCTTGGCTTTTGTGACATTCTGCTCTTGGATTTTTCCCCCTTCAAATCTGTCCTGCCTATTGAAAAGGAAAGAGTAGCCATGCTCCGCTTTCTCTCCACTACTTACTGAAGCCAGCTGGAGAAGCCTGAGTGAGCACAGGGAAAACAGTCAGCATATGCCAGAGAATCACTACCATACCCACCTTTGAGGCTATGTTCCTGGCCTCCATGTCCACTCTGAATTTGAGCAAGGATGGAAAAAAGATTTGCTTCGTTTGGTGGTTACTAAATCACCTATCCTCAGTTTCATCCATTTCAATGCTAGGGGCACCAGGACCAGCAGAAGCAGGAAATCCGAATGGACTTAGGACTTATTTTAAAAAAATAAAAATAAAAACAACTGGCTGGATTTCTCTTTACTGAACAATGGATAAAAAGCAAGAAAACTGAACCAATGGTATTTCCTCATGCCAAGGCAGAAAATTTACAAAGTAGAATTTCACAGTATATTGCCTCAATATAATCCTTCCTCATTTTGCACAATTCACATTTGGGGAACACTGAGGGAAAAATCAATTTGGTTCCCAAGTCTATGGCAAGGTAAAGGTGAAATTTCCCTGATATGCCTGTCAAAAAATGTCAACACTTCATCATAGCTATTCAGATTTTCTCGTTTAGCAGAACTCTTTAAGGAAATGTTTACCCTGTTTGCCTGTGGTCATGTTCTTATTGCTCTTCATAAGGTAAGTGATCATTTTTCACATGGAAACTATCAACAAGTAAAAGCGAAGTGCTCCGCACCAGCTGAGGACTGAATGGAGACTCCTTTTCTCTGTGATTACAGTGAGCTGAAAAGAGCCTTGAGGTGCAGCCAGACTCCATTATTATCGACTTGCTGAACACCAGCCATCCCAGATGTCAATCTTGGACGCCAAGCTCAGTTATATATGTATTAACAATGCAGGAATACACCAGGGTGACTGCTGAACAGCTATCTCCAGAAAGACCACTTTTCCCTAACAAGAAGCTGGAAAGGCTATTAAAGAATTTTTGTCTTTGTGTCACTCAGATCGCCATGCCCACAACTTGTAGCACAACAAGCAAGCTCCTTGCCTCTGACTATCTCACTGTGCAATAGGAACCTTCAACAAGCATCTGGTGCCTAATTCCTTTAGCCGATACATAACCTAACTCCACTGTGACCTCCACGTCAGTGGTCCTGCAGGCTGGCTGTACCTTCCTCCCCGATCTCAACACTTTATTATCTTCTATTCTAAGAAACTCTTGTGGCCTTGTCCTATCACCACCCATTTGCTTTGGGAAAATCAAACCCTGGATCCTCCTATCATCTGTCCGCTTCCTTCATTGCTATCATCCCCACCCTCTCGCTAGTCTTCAATCTCTCCCTAGCTCCCAAGTTGTTCCCTTGTTGCACACACACAAAAGTCTCTTACTTAATCTGATTCTCCCCACTAGCTCTTGGTCTTTGCCTCTCCTCTTGTCAGCTGAAGTCCTTGAAAAAGCCACCATCTATCCAGATAGGTGCCTCCTCTTTTTCTTTCCCCTTCTTCTAGACTTTCTACAAGTTGACTTCATTCTTCTGAAACTGCTTCTTCAAAGGTAGCAGAGATCTCTGAATTGCCCAATCGAATGGTCTTTTCTTTCCTTCACGGAGTGTCCATCTGTAGCCTTTGGCACTGTCCCTCATCCTTTCCCTCTGGGACACTCTCTCCTCAGTAAGTTTTCACAGTACTGCTCTCCTGGTTTTCTCTGTGCCTGTCTGAGCACTCCTTATCAGCCTCTCAGAACTGGAACTGTGGGTATCTTTTCTTTCTATACTACCTAGCTTGGCGATCTCATCAGCTCCCCTGGGTTCACTTGTCATCTCTATGCAGATGATCCTCAAATCTCCAGATCTAGCTGGAGGCTCTCTCCTGAGCTCTCGTCAGGCATGGCCGACTGGCTCCCGTGGACATCTCAAATGCAGTGTGTCCAAAACAGAACTTCTCCTTCTCCTCTAACCCTCCCATCTTCCACACTTTCCTGTTACTATCAAGGTCACCACTGTCCTCTCAATAACCTTGGTGTGGGCCCTCCACTTACTCACTTGCTTTTATTCCACAAATCCAATCTGTTGCTAAGTTTTGACTTTTCTCTCTTCCAAACATCTCTCCTACCTCTCCTCTCCATTCACAAAACCACCACCTTGGTGTATGCCCTCCTCCTCTCCTGAAATAGTCTTCGGCTTGACCTCCCTCTGTCTCTCTCCGCCCTAATCCATCCTCCACTCTGCTACTAAGGGGATTTCCCTAAAGCACAGGTTTGCCAGTGGACAGCCCTCCTCAATAACCTGGGGTAGTTACCTCCAGGATCAAATACACAGTCCCGACGTGCATTAGCAACCTGGACACTTCCAACCTTTCCAGTCTTCTTCTACTTTCCTTCCACATCATGCTGGTAACACGCCTACCTCTACAGTCTTCTCCTCTGATTGGTTAGTTCATCCCCAAACCTCCACTGCAAGAGGCTCCCACACCAGCCATGCTCAGTCCAAATATGGTTCAAACCATGATACCCTGGACTCCTTCAGAACTCCCCCCCCCACAACTTTCATAGCTCTTTTTGCGGTGGTATCTTCCCCCGTTAGAATTTAAGTCCCTTGCTTGTATTTGTATTTGTCTTCCCAACACTGGGTACAGCGTCTAGCACCCAGTTAGCACTTACTAAATGCTTGATCTCTGTATGTATATCCTCTAAGATCTTAAGACATTTTTATAGCCAAAGCATAGTATATACCAAGATATTTTTCCTTAGCTACTAAAAGTTCACTAAATAATGTGCTGATAGAATAAAGAAGAGGCCATTTCTTCCGTGGATAACCAGGGAAAGTACATTCATATTATGGATAATCATAACTTAGAAGTCATTTTCAAAGATAAGCTCTTAGTTGTAAAATGTACAAAATGGAACTTTGCAACGCTACAGCTGGGAAACAGTGTTCCACGTCCACTCCCCCACTCCATTACACGGCACATAGGAAATGAAATAGTAAACATGAGAAGGGCTGGCAATAGCCATTTGAGGAGACGCTCCAATGAGCAAACCCTGAGGGTCTCATTCTTCAATGTTCTGATCCCTTTCAGTGGCACCTGAGGCTGGTGGTATTTTTCCACTCAGACCTGTGAGACTGTGTGAAGGGTGATCAATCAACAAACATTAAGCTTCTGCTAGGTGCCTGCCACTGTGTGTGTGCTAGGTAAAAGGAACTGACTCATTAATCTTACCTGCTCATGTGTTTGGTGTGATCCACTGTAGCACAGCTCATTTCCAGTGTTCGTAGCAAGTGAACTACTTCCCGTGATGACTTGGGTTTGCTGGGTGGAATGGCACGGTTGGCACAGCTGAGCCTGTACAATCTGGGGCTGCTGTATGACATGATGTTGACACTGAATCTGAGGGTAGCATTCCTGAGGCACACCCCAAAACCACCATGGACAAAACACATTACTAAATCACGATGGATCCAGGGAAGCCTTGCTGAATTCACACACACACACACACACACACACACACGCACAAACTCACATGTACACACGTGAGAATTAGAACCTTTTTTTTTTTATATTTTAACCAAATGACACAATATTTTTCAAAGTACTTTACAGAGAAACCAGACTACTTCTCCAGAATGGTAAGGGAATTTGGTGTTCTAGTAAACTCAATATTCTACTTAATTAAGAGTTAGTAGACATATAGATATCAATATATCAGTCAATTTTCAAAACCAGAAAGTAATAACATATGTTTAATACTGAGGTTATACTGAGTAAACACAATTTAATCTTTTTTTTGACACCCTAAAAGGTAACTTAATGATCTCGTAGTGCCTCTGACATCATTATGAATATCAGTTCTTCTTGTACAGTCCTGTCCAATAGAATGTCGTAGACTCTCGGAAATTTAGAGTGGGCAGGGCTGTTAGAAATCATTTAGCTCCAGCTTCTCATTTTACAGAGGAAGAAACTGAAGGTCAAGATGGCCTTACCTAAGTCAGTAGCAGAGCTTAGGCTAAGGCCCAGGCCATATGAGACCTAGTTGAAGGAACTGAAGATACTGAGCCTGGAGAAGAGAAAACTTGGGTGCAAGAAAGAAACGTGAGAGCGACTATCCACAGATACGAGGGTCTGCCAAGCGGATGAGGGCTTGGGCTCACCCTGCTTGGCTCTACCAATGATGGGAAGCTGCCGAGCATCATATTTAGGCTCTGAGAAAGCGGTAACTTCCTGAACAACTGGAATCTCCACAGGGGGCAGGCAGTGGCTTCCCCATCACAGGAGACATTTCAGTTGAGGCCAACACATGTTGGAGGTGGTATGTTTCTCTCCAGGTTAAACTCGGGGATCTCTTCCACCCAGCCTCCCTCTAGCCCGGGAATTCACACACTGAAAGTACGGCCTCTCCGTGTCAATGGATGGCTCCTCCAGGAACTGCCATTTCAGGAGGGTGCCCAGGCCAGCCAAACGTCACTCTGGACTTCCTCTACCATTCCCCCAGCTGTCCACCTTTCTATCCCTGCTCCCACCACTACCTTTGCAGCTTCCTTTTCCTAATGACCTCTTAGTTGCCTTTTCTCTCTCTTCATTCTCCTTGACCTCTGCAGCCTTGGACACTGCTGATCACTCTCTCCTCCTGGATCCTCTCTTCTCTCTGGGTTTTAGGGACACTTTCACTTGGTTCTCCTCTTCCCTATCTGATCACCCCTTCTCTGTCTCCTTTGCCAGATTTTCCTCCAGACCCTTCCCTCTAGCCATAGATGGCCCTCAGCGTTCTGGCTCAGGTCTTCTCTTCTCCCTTTATACCACTTCACTTGAAGTGAAGTGAAGCTTCACTCATCAGCTTCCATGGATTTAATTGCCACTTGTATGCTTCTGATCTCAAATCTACCTATTCTGCCCTAATCTCTCTGCTGACCTCTAATCTAGCATCTCTGTCTTTCAGACATCTCAAACTGGATGTCCAGTAGACATCTTAAACTCAATATGTCCAAAACAGAACTCATTATCTTTCCCCCAAAACTCTCCCCTCCTCCTAGCTTCCTTATTACTATAGAAGTCAACACCATCCTCTCAGTCCTCAGGCTTGAATTCTAGGAGTCATCCTGGATTCCTCCCTATCTCACACACTCCCAGCCCCGACCAGATCCAAGCTATTTCGAAGGCCTGTCATTTCACCTTTGCAACCTCTCTTGAACACTCCCTCTTCTCTCTTCAGACGCTGCCCCCACCCTGCTGCAGGCCCTCATCACCTCCCGCCTGGATTATTACAATAGCCTGCTGGTGGGTCTGCCTGCCTCAAGTCTCTCCCCATTCCAGTCCATCCTCCATTCAGCCACTAAAGTGAATTTCCTAAAGTGCAGGTCCAACCATGTCACCGCGTCCCCCCCCCCCCCACATACACTCAATACTCAGTGGCTCCCTATTGCCTCCAGGAAGCAGATACAAAATGCTGTTTGGCATTCAAAGCCCTTCCTAACCTAGCCCCCACCTAACTTTCCAGTCTTCTTATACTTTATTCCTCAATGTACTTTTCAATGCAGTGGCACGGTGCCTCCTGTCTGGCCCATGAACAAGACAGCCTATCTCTCAGCTCTAAGCATTTTCTCTGGCTATCCCCCTATGACTGGAACACTCTCTCTCTTCTGCTTGACTAGTGACCTCCCTGCCTTCCTTTAAATCTCAACTCAAGTCCCACCTTCTACAGGAAGCTTTCCCTAACCTCTTTTAATTCCAGTGCTTTCCTTCTTTTAATTACTTCCTAATTATCCTGTATATAGCTTGCTTTGGGCAGCCAGGTGGCCCAGTGAAGAGATTGCCAGGCCTGGAGTCAGGAGGACTCCCATTTTCCTGAGTTCAAATCTGGCCTCAAGACACCTACCAGCTATGTGACCCAGGGCAAGTCACTTCACCCTGTTGGCCTCAGTTTACTCTCCTGTAAAATGAGCTGGAGAAGGAAATGGCAAACCACTCCAGGATCTCTGCCAAGAAAACCCCAAATGGGGTCATCAAGAGTTGGGCATGACTGAACAATAAAAATAGCTTGCTTTGTATATATTTGTTCGTATGTTGTCTCTCCCATTCGACAGTAAGCTCCTTGAGGGCAGGACTATCTTTAGATTTGTATTTATATCCTCAGAAATAAGCATTTAAGAAATGCTCATTGAATGACTTATGTTACAGAAAGGAGTCTTGGTGGCGGGTAGACTGGACAAGGTGGGCTCAGAGGTCCCTTCTGATATTCTGCTTACTAGTGCTGGGCTCTTTCAGGAGTCTGTGGGGAATCTATCCTGACCTAACACTATGACATTAGGAAAATTACTTTTTGGAATAAATCCCTCATCTCATCAGCCTGTATAATTGTGATCTTTTTCCAGAAATGAGAGCACAAAACACGAAGCCATTCAAATTATCTGTACATTCCAGTTACCTGTTTTTTTAAGATGAACTGCAGTTTGCAAGATTTATTTTCTTATTGCTCCGCTTTGAATGGAGGTGTCCAATAACTGGCTTTATTTACAGGGGGTGGGAGAGGAAAAGGAGAGTATGTGGAGAGGGATAAGGTGTGAAAAGACTGCACAGGTAGGAAGGGGCCATTTTTATGTTATGAAGTACTTGAAAAGCCAGATTTTATATTTGATCCAGAGGCTATAGGGAGCCATGGGAATTTACCGAATAAACATGGGGAGACCTGCATGTGAGGAAAATCACTGCAACAGCTGAATGGAAGAAGGACCAGAGCAGGCAGAGATTTGAAGCAGGGAGACCAATGATAAAGAAGCCCTCTGTGCCAGTGCCAGTCCCAGTATGGGGTGGTGAAGGCCTGCATCAGAGGCATGGCAACACCAGAGAAGAAAAGAGGGAGCAAATACAAGAGATGCCATGGGGGAGGGGAGAAGTGAAGAAGAACAACAATCAAGGCTAACATGTGGGTGACTGTAGGATGCCAGTACTCTTGACAATAACAGGGAAGTCTGGAAGAGGGCAAGATAATGAGTTCAGTTTTGAACAGGTTGAGATGAAGTTATCTATGGGACATCCAGTCTGAAATGTTCAACAGATAGCTGGAGATGTGACACTGGAGGTCAGGAGAGAGGCTAAAGATGGACAAATATATCTGAGAATCATTGAAGCCAAGGGAGATAATGAGATCACCGAGGGAATCAGTATAGAGAAGAAAAGAAGGCCAAGCCAATGAGAGAGCTTGGGGGATATCCTGTGTCTTACCAGTTTCCAAAGCACACAGGGCACACGTTACCCTAGTTTGGGGACACTGATCCCCAAATCACATGAAAAAAATTTGCTGATTTTTTTTTTTACAGTTGACCTCTTGCAGTGTATAGATTTCTTTCCTCCTGTCCTATGGGATAGGCCTGTTTGAACTGCTCTCATCTGACTACAAAGAGATTCACTCAAGTTCCATGCTCACCAGCATCTCCTGTTTAGAGATCTTTCTCTTAGGAATCAGGACTAGAGTAAGCCATTCATAGGTACTTACAGTAATTACCACTAAATTATCTCTCAGCTTATTTGCTTAATCTCCTAGGAAAGTCCTAAATCTCCAAAAGCCAATTAAATTATGAATAAGGGGGAAAAAAAGGCATCCAAATGGCTCCAACCCAACTGTAGTGTTCTGGTTGCACCACAAAAACAATACATCACAAGTGCAATCTCGTCTTCAAAAGAGGGCATGGAAGAATTTGTGCCGTCTGTCTGAAGCAAGTCTTAGTAAAGAAGCAGGTAGAGAGTATGGCTCACCTAGGTCTTTCTATTTTAAACGAGTGAGGATAATAAGGCTCATTTTTCTCCAGGACTAGAAGGGACATGAGGAATCGTCTGGTCTTACCCCTTCATTTTACAAATGGGGAAAACTGAAGGTCACTAAGTTAAGTGGCTTTCCCGAGGCCACAGAAGTAGTAAGTATAGAAACCTAGATTCCAGTTCATATCAGAGTCCAAAGTCTGGGTTTCCTTCCCTGGCACCAAGTGGCACTACTGTGTGAAATGCTATTGGCCAGTGAGGCTGAGAAGATGTCGACGATCCAAAGAGTTCAGCGCTCTCCCAATTACGCCGTGGAATGACAACTCCGAACTCGGAACTGTGGACATTTTCCTTCGATTCCTAACCAGACAGCAGATATTAGTTCCTTTCTGCTTTGTTTTTTCACAGCCATTTCATGTGCTTCATAAATAACTATATGGCACATACTGAAAATGGAATCCTTTAAAAATTACCTGGAGAAAGGTATTCAGCACAGTGGGCACGCCACTGGTGAGGGGCAAATGGGATGTCAACAAGAGCTGCACTGGTTAATAGGGCACAGATGAGTAGAGATCAGCACTAATGGAGGGGGCTCCCACAGTGAGGAGATCACAGACCTACTTAAGTATAGTGATTCAAAGTGGGGAAAAGCCAACGGAACTTGGCTTTCTAAATAGACCAGAGTCTGAATGTTTTGGATGTATCTGATAAACACTCTGATCTATTCCAATCGGTATCTATTGATCCCTGGGCGAGTGACTTTATGCTATGAATCCAGCAACTCAGGAAAGTTCATATATCTCATGTTCTTCTTGTGGAAAAGATAGAGAGAAGCAGGTTCAATGACAGCTCAATGCCAGGGATCTGGGACCCTCAGAGAAGAGTTTGCAGGACAGTGCCTGTGTGTCCCAGGCTCGTCGAGCTCTTCATCGGTGACTTACATAAAGGCATGGGTGGCTCACCCGGCAGACACAGAACCAGGAGGGATCAATGAGACGCTGGCTAAAAGTCAGGAGCCAAAAAAAGACCATGACGAGCAAGAATGCTGAGCTGAAAGTACTAAGATGAAAATGAGTGGGAACAAATGGGAAGATCTTACACGGGCTCAATAATTTAAGCTTCAGAAATAGAAGATGGGGGAGGCAGAGTCAGCAATTGGGTTGAAAAAGCTCTGGGCATTCTGATGGACTGCAGACTCAGTCTGAGTCAATAGTGTCATCGAGCAGCCAAAAATGCTCATGCAGTCTCTGGCCATTCAGGTCCGATGCCACAATTCTGAAAGTAAACTAATAAGATGAAGAGCATCAAGATGAAGGCAGTTACAATGGTGAAAGGCATCGAGGCTCTGCATGAGGAAATCGGCTGAAGGAACTGGAGATGGTTAGCACCAAGAAGACTCAGAGGGACCAAGAAAGCTATGTGTCAAGTATCTGGAGGGCCGTCATGCAAAAGGATTGGAACGCCTATAATCACTGGATCCCGGAATTTGAGAGCTCGATGGGACTTCATCTAATATATCTCAGTGGTGAAGCTAGCAAGTAGCAGTTCATCCTTTGTTCAAAACCCTCCAAGGCAGGAGAGGAGTGGGGGGGGGGGGAAGATTTGTTCTGCCTGGTACCGGAGAGCAGAACTGGAAGCAATGGGGTGGGGGGGAAGCAGGAGAGATGGAAAATCGGGCTTGGTCTCTGGAAAAACCATCTACCGATTAGCAGCACACCAAATTAGGATGGACTACCTCAAGAGGTAGTGGGTTTGGCCTCCCTGGAGGCCTGTTTTCAAGCAGAGGCCGGATGACCATTTATTGGTTTTGTTGAAATGGAAATTCTTTTTGGTGCATGACTCAGACTCAGTGGCCACTAAGGTCGAAATTCAACGATTCCAGTCCATTTCATGTCAGGTTAGCCCAGAGCAACGAGCTTAGTTTCATCTCCTTGAAGACGTTCATAATTCTAAAGTCTCAGTGTGAAAAACAAAACAACTTACCTGATCGGGATTTAACTTCTCAACTTTTCTTACTGTCTTTTCATAAATGACATTATTTCCTGGGAAAAAATGGCCTCCTCTTAGAAATGGGGACAGTGGTTCCTATAAAGATAAGAGAGAGAAAATCATTTTCAGAGGTCCTTTGGTTGAACCCCATATTGTGGGCATTTGAAGGTAAAAGTAGAATGAAGTCACACAAAGACCTAGAGAAAATCGCAGCAAAGGCCAGCCCTTTTCCCAAGGAAGGGACCCAGATCTGTCCTCTATTCTTCTATGTATGACAGAGGCATTTTTAAACGGATGCTATTTATTTCTCTCCTGAAGGCAAGATCTAATGAGTTTCCTTTGAAGTGAAGCAGTATAAGGTCAGCCTCATTGAAACTGGATTCCCAGGTAGGTTTCTATGCAAACGATCTACAGAGAAATGCAAAACAAATGCAATTCAGCAGCACCTGGCAGACCTTCTCTGGATTTGGGTGCCCTCTAAATACCCTCTGACATTCTAATTCTCAATAGAGTACATGTTTCTAACCCTGAGACTAGAGGGAAGCCGTTGTAACTCCCAACGAAACTGCTGTATGATTAGAGAAGGCCTTACGTGTCACTCAAAGAAAGAAGCAGTGACTTCCATGCCCAGGGCCCGAGAGAGATCAGGCGGAACTGAAGGACAACCAGGTAGGGGACAGAAAAGAGATGGAAGGCTCTATTGGTGGAATGTTTTTCATGGGAATCTGTACTTGAGGTACGTGGGGGGATTGGGGTGTGGGGAGAGCAGGAGAGACTCAATCTGCTCATAGGTAGTTGTGCTCTTTATTTCTCTAACATAGGAGAAAGGCCAAGAAAATTGAGGGTAGCAAGAACGGAAAAAGGGTAATATTGGTCAATGTAGAATTCAGTGGTCAGCAAACTGTACAACCCAGCCCCAATAGACAATGGCAATACCAATTTAGCAAACGCTTTTGTGAATAGATCTTTTAAAAATTCTGGGGGCAGATTTGATTGGTGCAAAGGAAAGAACCCTGGGTTTGGGCCCTAAATTCAAATCTCAGCTCTAGTACATTGCCTCTGTGACCTTGGGCAAGTCACTTCTCATCTCTGGGTCTCAGTTTCCTCATCTATAAAAATCAAAAGGCATCAATAAAACTTAGAAAATACCAATAAATTGAGGGGGTTGATCTCGATCCAGGGTTCTTAACCTGGGGTCTGGATCCTCAAGGAGGCTGTGGTTGGATTTCAGGGGGTCCATGAATTTAGAAGGGGAGAAACTACAGCTTTATTTCAATATAATTGGTTTTCCTTTGTTAAAGAAAAAAATAATATTGTACTCTGAATTTTAGGAACAAGTCTACCAGAAACCATTTTTACTTAATTTAACATTAATCTAATATCCAAACATTTCTAGCTTAGAGAGATATCCAAACTGGCATTGCCCCCCCCAACCCTCAGACAGTTCCCTTTCCTCCAAGATGATTTTAGTTAACATTTATAGGAATCTTTAATAAGAAAAGCTTATAATACAGAAAATACATTTTGGGATTAATATTCCAGAGTTGCTGCTCCATTCTTTCTTTAACCATTTTCCTGAAGGACTGAAAAGCTCTCCTCCCAGTGGTCAATATCGTTCCTTCCTAAACAGGGAAGGGTGAGTCACAGTCCATTTGCTTTGGGGGGGGATGGAAAAAGCAGGCATTTTAAGACCAGATTAGGAAAGGCCTTGACCCACCTTTAGAAGAGGGAAGGGAGAAGTCTGAAAATGGCTTTTAGACATGAGAAATACTTAATTCTTATTATTTCTGGGGAAACTAAAAAAGGTTTTAATGTATGCTTCCATACTTTATAATCCTCTGCACTTTATTTTATGCATTCAAAAACATTATTTTAAGAAGGAGTTCATAATATATTTTGCATGACTGCACATTTATAATTTAGATCAAATTTCTTGCCTTCTCAAGGAGGGGAAAGGGAGGGAGGGAATTTGGAACTCGAAATTTTTAAAAATGAATGTTAAAAATTGTTTTTACATGTAATTGGGAAAAAATAAAATATTAAATGAATATATTCTTTAAAAAAAAAAAAAACAAATCCCCCAGTCTGTTTTTTTTTTTTTAAAGAAGGCCTTCATAGACTTTGCCATACCAACGGGTCCATGACAAAACAAAGTTTAAGAAGCCCTGACCTAGATGGTCTCAAAGGTCCCTTTAGGCTCCATGAATGTCTGATTCCATTTCCTTGAAGGAAGGTGCATGAAAAGCATAGAAGAAACCACTGGGTGCAAAAGAGGAAAGCTATGTGACCCTCAAGCTAAGCCTGCTTTTCCCCTCACATATGCCTGATCTGTCCTTGTGCCACTTGAGAAACAATACCTAAGTCAGTTCCGTTTTTGATATTAATATATGACATCTGATGTTGCATTAGAAAATATATTCTTATAAATTTGGTTTCTTAAAGTCACTTTGACAGGATAGCTACTTCAGTATCTCTCTTAAAATTACACAACATAATGAAACAATACCCTCCCTCATAGAGTCTTTTCAAGATACAAAATTGCCAGACACACATCATCTTATTCTTTTTACAGCTTATATTCTCTTAAGGACATTAAAGAACATCCACCAAGATTAAAAGAATTTCTTGGTATAAAAATATTAGTTTTCATTCTTCCCTGTGAACCAGTACCAGGAAAGGAAGGGGGAAAGGCACTGGCCAGGTGATGTCACTAGTACCGGAACAGCCAGGCAAGAAGCCTTCTACCATCTAATTAAGCAGGCAGGCACCTCCTTGTGATCTTCTAGTCTTTGAGAACTGCCTCAGCCTTGAGAGGGGAAAGTGACTTGCTAGTATGGGTCAGGAGCAGGAATCAAACTCAGGGCTTCCTAGATCCAAGGTCACCTCTGGATCCACTATGCATAGAGGCAGTGAAATTGGTGAAAATGGAGAGAGAGGCCACTCTCTAATAGGTCCATGAAGTAATTTTTAAATAAATTAAATGTCACAAAAAATAGGGGGAAAAAAAGCATTAACTCTTCCCACCAATGTGTCTAACAGCTGACCCAGAAAGGTGGTGTGGTGGCAGAAAACATCAGACTGCTGACAGTCAGAAGGCCGGGCTGTGGCCACCTTGCTTTGTGACCTTGGACCTGTCACCCTTCTTAGTCCATAAAGCCAGAGGGTCAAACTAAAGGGGAGGGAAAGCTTCTTCCAGCTTGAATATTCTCTGATTCCAGTGGCGACGTGAGGCCACACTTCTGGGCCAAACAACCTAAGCAGAAGTCTTCCATTTCTCAATGTATATATTTGAACTTGTGCCAGGTGGATCCTCTATAAGGGAAGATTAGTATTACTCTACTTGCTAGAGCTATAGGAATGCTGGCAGAAGTTCTCAAAGCACTATCATACCATATCTAAGAAAGTAAAACTAGGTCATTTCATCCTTAAATACTCTCCAGTGGGAGGGCCCAAACACTTCCTTGGGTTTTGACTCCTTGGGTTTTGACTCCAAAATCAAACGGAAATCCTGGAATTACTTAAAGAAAAGAAAACAAACACAAATGGTCTGGAAGGGAAGAGCAGTAGCAAAATGTGAATCAGTAGTGGAGAAAACGTGACCAATGAAATGAAGATCTGCTCTAATGGCAGGAAGGAGAAATAAAGATTGGAAAGGCTGAAAATGTAAAAGGAGAGAGCTATGTTTTGGAGGGCCGACTTATTATATTGTCATTAAACTAGAATGCTCTCCCAAGGATTCTAAAAAAGCAGTCCCAAAAGGAATTTTTTTTAATAAATAAAATGGAAAATATCTCTAGACTGGGTTTTCAGGTTGTCTTGCAAAACCAGTTAGATCATTTTTACCTACAAAATATACAACCTGAAATTTGTGTCATCCTCCATGAAGGCATGGAGTTGAGAACTAAAAAATGATTTGTTTCCCTCAGCCCTCTCCCATGTCCCCCCACTGCCGCTACCAATTACCTCGTGGGTTAACATACGCATTCAACATACACATTTCTGCTTTTGCAGAAATGAAAGGATTTTTCTAATACAGTAATACCTCCATTCCCGGGAAAATGTCACTCACTACAAGACGGGGGTGGGATGGGAAGGGAGGGAATTAAGTACTCGCACAGCTTCCTCCACTTCTACCCTCAGCCTGCATTAACCTGCCAGGGTCTCATCATTATTTACTCAACAGTAAGAACTACACAAGAATGAGTCCTAGAAACAAGGGGAATCCAGATTACCTACGAGTCGCCCTCCCCTTTGTTTCTGTCAAATGGAACAATTACTCAAATTCCTAAAAGCTAATATTTACAAAAACCGATTCAAAACAAGGAATTACATTGAAGACCATGTGAGAGAGGCAGGTTGGGGAGTTAGAAGACCTAGGCTCAAATTCTGAATTTGTCATTAGTCATCGATTCTCTGTGTGACCTAGGGCAGGTCACTCAACCCCTCCGGGCCCTGTCTGCAATCCTCATAGCTCCACTGGCCAGTTCACGCCAAGACACAGATGTTGACCCCTACAGGGCCACCTCTGCTGAAGATATCTCAGAGTCCCTCTCTACTGCTCTAACCCTTGAACCTACTGTCCTTCTGGTAGGAGTGCCTCTGCCCCGCCATTGCTCTCCAGGGTCCCCAGGGCTTTGTCACGTGTTTTGTTCCTTTCCCTGCCAATGTGCCACGTGGCCTCGCCCTTCCATGAACAAGAACCCTCCTTTCTGAGTTGTCTCCTCAGTCAGAATTTGAGCTCCTCGAAGGCAAGGACCATCTTATTTTTTTATGTGTATTCCCAGAGTTCAGCACACCCTCTTCAGCCATAACGATTTTGCATTCCATATTGTGTTGAGCTGTGAGCACACAGCAAGACCTAGGGAATTTAGGAAGCATCCTTCAAGGTGTGGCAAATTCAGGGGAGGGTGAGAAGACTAGAAACCACGTCATACAAAGATCCCTTGAAGGAACCTGAGATGTTTAACCTGGAGTGGAGGAGACTTGAGGGGCACGTGATCAGGCTGTGTGCAATCTGGCAGCACAGTGGAGTGGAGATGCCACAGAACTGTACTCAGACAAGCCCCCAGCTCCTGAAACGGAATCTTCACCATGCCTGGACTGCTCTCCCTCCTCATCTCTACCCCGTGAGTTCCCTGGGTTCCTTCCCTAAAGCACCAGTCCAAATCTCACCTTCTACATGCAGCAGTTCCTGATCCTATCCCCCTTAACACTAGCACCTTCCCTCCGAGATTACCCCCAATTTATCTCATCTGAATCTTATTTGTATACAGTTGTTTTCATGTTGTCACTGCACCACCCCCCGACTGTGAGCTCCATGAGGGCAGAGATTGTTTTATTTTTTTGCCCTTCCTTACGTCCCCAGCACTTAGCAGAGTGCCTGGTACACAGTGAGTGCTTAACAAATGCAGGCCTGCCTCAGTGGTGAGCAGGCTCCCCTTTATGGAAGCCCTCAAGCAGAGACGGGCTGACCATGTGGTCAGGATCCTCCAGTTACGACGTGGTTAGGTCCCTGCCAACTCTGAACTTCTGCTTCTAGAATGAAGAAAAGGAGACGAATGGGGTGGGGTGAGAGGGGAGGGGAGCAAGAAATCACAGAATCTTAGACAGAAAGGACCTCCAAATGACAACCAGGCCTATTGAACAACTGAATGAGAGTCTCCTTTCTGCAGCACAACTCATCCTTGTGGAGAAGATCCCCAGGAAGCAGCAGCCCACTCAACCCTGGGACTGCTCTAACACAGTAAGCTTTCGCTTGCTTCTTTGCAATGCTTACCCCATTAGACAATAACACAGAGTCACTATCTCCTGAGCCAAGTTTCAGGTTTGGTGCTTATGTACCTATGACTAAGGAGAAGGAACCTGAAAACGAGGGCAATCCCGTTTCCCTGAAGAGCTGGAGTTGTCTAAGGAAACCAAAGGTCCAAAATAGCCATCGGTTACTGGAGTTAACGCTGTTGGCCAACCTTAACATTCAAAGCTGTGGCCTCTGCCACCCTGACCCAGTTCCAGGCTGCCCTGGGGTGAAAAAAGAGAGAAGGAAAGGATGAAAGTGGCAGGCAGGAGCAGAAAGGTCGGCACTGACCCCAGCCAAGGAAGATGTACTCTTTTAACCCTCTGTATTCCTTTGCAAGAAAAAAAAATGACATTGACTTTTTTTGGAAGTAGGGGCAGAGATTATTTCATACAGCAGCAGAACCCAGTGAAATAAAGTACAAAGACTGTTGCATTCTTGTCTAGATCAGAGCTTCTTAAACTTTTTCCACTCAAGACCCCTTCAGTGCTTCTTAAACCGTGGGTCTCAATGGGGTTGAGACCCACGGTTTAAGAAGCGCTGGTGTAAATCACCTCTACCCTCAGCACAGATTACTGATATCCTTATAACCAGCACCCAAAGAATATATCTTCCTGTAGCCATAGACACTGTTTTAGAGAGTTTTTATTGGGTGTGTGGGGAAAGGTTGATGTGGAGGAATGAGAGAAGAAAACATTGTGGAAAAAAAATTTTTTTTTTAGGCAATTGGGGTTAAGTGACTTGCCCAGGGTCACACAGCTAGTAAGTGTCAAGTGTTTGGTCTGAGGCTGGATTTGAACTCAGGTCCTCCTGACTTCAGGGCTCTGTCCACTGTGCCACCTAGGTGCCCCGAAAATATTTTTTTCTTAAGGACCCGCATGTACAAAAATATTTACAGCAGCTCTTTCTGTGGTGGCAAAGAACTGGAAATTGTGGGGATGCCTATCAGTTGGGGAATGACTGAGCAAGTTGTGGTATATGATTGTGATAGAATACTACTGTGCTATAAGAAATGATGAGCAAGCAGACTTCAGAAAAACCTAGAAAGACTTGTATGGTCTGATGCTGAGTGAAGTGAGCAGAACCAGGAGAACATTGCACACAGTAACAGCCTCATTGTGTGATGACTGACTTTGATAGACTTGGCCCTTCTCAGCAATGCAAGGATCTAAGACATGTCCAAAAGATTCATGATGGAAAATGCTCTCCACATCCGGAGAAAGAAATAGGGAGTCTGAATGCAGATCGAAGTGTACTATTTGACCTCTTTTTTTTCTTTAGTTGTTTTGTTTTGTTTCTTCTTTCTTGTGGTTCCTCCTATTGGTTCTAATTCTTCTTCACAACATGAGTAATGTGCAAATATGTTTAATATAAATGTATATATAGAGTCTATATCAGATTGCATGCCATCTTGCAGGGGGAGGGAGAGGGAGAAAATTTAAAACTCAAAACCTTATGGAAGTAAATGTTGAAAACTAAAAATAAATTAATTAATTTTAAAAAATTTAAAAAAGAAAAGAAAATATTTTTTCTTGCTTTTCTTCTCAAAGTAAAGGGAGAAAATATATTAGGGAAGGAAATACTGGGAAAGTTCATGTTTTAAGCTGGCCAGCAAAGACAATGAGACACTTTGAAGATTCTTCTCTTTTGTAGATCAAATCTTAACTGCCAAATGGGATGGACTCCTGATGAACTGATAGTTTTTATTGTAAGGTGTGTGCTCCTCTGTCGTCGTCCTCACTCACTCACTCACTCACTCACCGTCTGCAATGGTTTCTGTCACAGTTGGGTGGGGCATGACTTAGAACCTTAGAAACCTTTGTAATGGCTGGAATTAAGGATGGGATATGGCAGTAACCCTGATTAAAAGTATATTTCATATGATGCAAGAGATCTGGCTGCTAATTCACTCTTTTTTGCTCATGTTATTAACCTCAAAGGAATTACCCAAAAGAATATGATTTTGTGTAGTTTGCCTTACCTGATCAGGATTTTGCACTATGTATCTCCTTATGGTGGTCTGTGGGTAAGTAGTCACTCTCACTGTGGGAGAATGGAGATCCTGGGAATAGGGAAGGGCAGAGGAGAGAAAAAGATAAAAAGGCACATAAAATCATAAAGTGATTCAAGGGATGGGAGTCACCAGTAATCATCAGTTGAACTTTGGAGCACTTAGGAGGGACGGCATGCAAGCCTGGGATTCCGTCTCCATGACAGAGTTTAATTCAAATCGATGTAATCAGCACTTGCTGAATGTGTGATCAACGCTTCACTGGGGACAGATATAACTTCAATTTGAGGTCGACGAGGTTAACTTCTTCCTCAATAAAATCTGCTCCCACACCTGCTCCCACTTTCAAGATGTTTGATGGATTTAAAATATATTTTCGAGGCATTTTGACTACCAAATCTTACTTTGTAAGTGTTCACCAGAGCAACAGAGATTTTCTGGATAGGTGACCAGGACTAACTGGGCTTAATCAAAACTAGGAAAGAGATCCTACTTGTGATTCTTCAGTTCTCTCTGTCAGCACCCTTTCCACAATCCTCCCAAGGCCATGTTGTCCCTCTGCCCTCTGGCTGTCCAGGGTTAACCTCTGTGACTCCACAACTTTAGGTCATGCCCCATGCTTGTTTCACTATTTTAAGGATGACTGATTTTCTTGGAATGAGTACTGACTCATCATTCCTCCATGCCTTAAACCAGTGGCATTGAACTCAAATAGAAAATGATCCCTTTGGGTCATATGTTAACTTAGTAAACCACAAATTACCACTGCCCATGTTGCACTGTATTTTTACTTATTTTGTTATTCAGTCATTTTCAGCTGTATTCAAGTCTTCATGACCCCCTTTTTGGGTTTTTTGGGTTTTTTTTTTTTTGCAAGGTTACTGGAGTGGTTTTGTCATTTCCTTCTCCAGCTCATTTTACAGATGAGGAAACTTAGGCAGACAGGGTTAAGTGACTTGCCCAAGGTCACGCAGTTAGTAGGTGTCTGAGGCCAGATTTGAACTCATGAAGATGAGTCTTCCTGACTCCAGGCCTGGCAGTGCCACCTAGCTGCTCCAAACATTTCCCAGGGACATCTTAAACTAGTTCTGGCTTTACTCTGTAGTTTTCCAGGCATGTGGCCTGCAGTGCAAGTGTGACACCTCCACCTTAGAAGACGCTCTTCATGAGCTGCTTGGACTTTAAAAAATTTGTACCTGGTGGACAGCCACCAGGTTGGGATGAGCTTGTGATGAGCCTTTCTGGGTTCTGGCTATACGGCCATAGGGTCTGTCATCAGACCTATTCTTGAAGATTTTCAACTCAAAATATTGCGTAATACTGTGCTTCCCTTCCCCCCCAGCCTAAAAAACAAAACCGAAAAATTTATTTTCCAGGTCTCATTCTCACGGGTCCAACTCATTAACTGAATAAACTGATGCATGCTAACGAGTTACTTTGTCCCAGATAATGGAGATTTTAGAAAGGCGGAGGCATAATGGATGGAAAGGCGTAATTAGCCAGGACCAAAACTCAGCTCAGCCTAACTTCTCTGGGCCTCACGTGTCTCATCTGTAAAGTAATGTCTGGGCCTGACTACCTTGCAAGGTTGTGAAGCTCAAATAAAATATTGTGTACAAAGTAATCTGTAATCATAAAGTGACATGGGGATGTAAATTATTATTAACAAGAGACTTTGGGAGGAGGTATAATGCTTAAATCACTACATTCTTAATCCCTAGAACTAAGAATTCCTAGTACATTCAAGGCCAAGAAGGGGAGGATCCTTATGTACTTTTCAAGTCATAGCACCCTGTGAGTTCAAATCCAGCCTCAGACCAAACACTTGACATGTACTAGCTGTGTGACCTTGGGTAAGTCACTTAACCCCCGATTGCCTCACTTAAAAAAAAAAAAAGTCATAGCACCCTGGCAGTGCACACTTCTGGATTGGGTTCATCCTTGCCCCATAAATTAGTCAAAATCAGAACATTCTAGTACGACATTGTGGCTTTAAAAGTGCTTGACTTCACAGACAAGAGAAAGTCTTTAATGATCTCCACTTTTAAGTTTTCAGAGATTAGCATTTGATTCATGCTCAAATTAAGAACATTTGAATAAAACTGAATAAAATAAAAAAATAAAATTTAACCCAGAGCCTAAAATAAATATGGCTCTACCTAAGAAAAATCAAATTGGAGGCTAGTCCAAATTTTCATGCAAATTTAAAATCCAATTCACAGCACTAACACCTAGAATGGAAACTCCTTTTGACCAGGAACTATTTCATTCTCTGTCTTGTGATCCCTGGCACCTAGCACAGTACCTGGCACAAGGGAGGTGATTAATAAATGCTTGTTGATTGACTGATTGTTCCTTTAGGCGGTGAATACTAACTCAGGTGAAAACCACAATTCCAGAAGACTAATGATACAACACACTACCTACCCATTCACAGAGAGGTGAAGGACTTAGAATGAAGAATGAGACAAATGTTTTTTGAATATTACCAAGGTGGAAATTTGTTTTGGTCGACTATACCTGTTTGTAATGGATTTTATTTTATTGTGTTCTCAGTTGAAGGAGGGGGATTGGGAGGGAGGGTGAGAAGGAACACTCTGGCTGATTAAAACAAATAAAATATATTTTTTAAAATAACTAAGTTAGAGAGGCAGCTAGGTGGCACAGTGGATAGATTTCCAGCCATGAAGTCAGGAGGACCTGAGTTCAAATCTGGCCTCACACACTTGACACTCTTACTAGTTGTGTGACCCTGGGCAAGTCACTGAACCCCAATTGCCTCACCCCCCCCCCCCGCAAAAAATACTAAGTTAGGTGAGCTGCATCACCTAGGCCACTAAGCTTTTGGGGATGAGTGAAAATCTTTTGTGGGCTAGGAGGAGGTAAAAAGATGACTTCTTTTACCTGTTCGATATTATGGGTTACGTGCAGAGTATTTGGGGCACAAGTAGCTACTTTTAATGTTGGAGAATGGAGCTCCTGTGAAGAGAAACAAAAAAAGATCAGCATTGTTCCTGGAACGCTTCTGGAACTGAGATTCAGTTTTCTCCAGTGGGAAAACCGTTCTATTTACTCTGATAGCTTTCTGAGCAAATGTTTGCATGCCCTAATAACAAGATAGCACTGGCTTCATGAAGGTTTTCATGGAAATACAATTTTCTTGGCTGTAAGGGATTGTCTAAGTTATGATTTTTGTTTTTGTTTTTTGTTTTTTTCCATTAGAGTTTTGCTAGTATTGCCCAAGTCACTGGTGGTCTTCAAATAAAGGTAGGATGACCACTTGTCAAGCTACACGGTAAAAGGGATTCTTTTTCAGGTACAGACTGGCCTCAGCAAACCCTTCTGACTCAAATTCTAGGACATCGCCAAACCCCAGTAATTCCTGTGCATCACACTCCAGCCCAATTCTCCCACCTGCTTCATTATTTCCAGCCTGGCATCGTGGGATCCAGCAATAGGAAGCTTGCACTTGAAAGCGGCCTCTGATAATCACTACTCATGTGACCTTGGCCAAGTCACCTTCCTTCCCCAAGTCTCAGTTTCCTCCTCTATATAATAATAATAATAAACACAATAACAATAATACTTGCACTCCCTCCCTCCCAGGCTTGTGCTAAAGAAATGTGAGCTGTTGTTTTGTAATCAACTGACACCTTCAGGAGAATTTTACCAGCCAGAACGTTAATTCCTTAGGAAAAGACAGTGTAGTGTAACGGAACAAGCACTGGACTCCTGCCTCAGATCCTTTACTAGGTGGAGGACCTAGAACATGGCACTGAGCCTCTCTGAGCTGCAGATATTTCATCTGTAAAATGGGTATAATATCTCTACACCCTATCTCAGAGGATTATCATTAAGAGAAAATTGTTTCTAAACCTTCAAATACTACAGAAATGTGAATTATTATTAAAGGATCTAATATATGTACACAAGTATTTTCAGGCTACCTTAGGACTTCATTATGAATTCCTATGTTTTTAGAACATAGGAAATACTGATTACTCTTTATTAAATCTACATTGGAATATTTGGAGATAAATTTTGAAAGGAAATAGAGTTGGGTTTTTTTGTTTTTTTTGTTTTTGTATTTTTTTTTGGCAATTGGGGTTAAGTGACTCGCCCAGGGTCACACAGATAGTAAGTGTCAAGTGTTTGGACTAAGGCCGAATTTGAACTCAGGTCCTCCTGACTTCAGGGCCAGTGCTCTATCCACTGTGCCACCTAGCTGCCCCATACAGTCATTTTAAAAAGCAATATTCAATGAGGTAGTTTAACATCAGTCAAGAAATGAGCTAATAAGCCTCAGAGAAAAGCTGAGAAAATGTTTCTTCCCTTCCTTTTTGGCAGAGGTGTGGGACAAAGGATGTAGAATAGTCTAGCGTAGGCAACTACTGTGTTGATTGATATTGCTGAATTGTTCCTTCCCTTTAAAAAAGAAAAATCTTTGTAACAAGGGATGGCTCACTGGGTTAGAGGAAGAGAGAAAGCTAAATTTGGCAATGAAAGTAATATGAAAAGAAAAACATATCATTAAAAAAAGATTTTTTTAAAAGCAATCCAGCAGGCCAGGGTTTATTATGCAAAGATGTAGAAGGTATGAGTTTAAATTAAAGGGGAGCACTTTGTAAATACAGCTTTTGTCTTGTTTATCTGGTGCCAGATAGTTTTGATAATAATGGCTTTGTAATATAGTTTGAAATCTGGAAGCACCAAACACCCCTCCTTCTTACTTTTTTCCTCATTTATATCTCTCTATATTCTTTATCAAATGAATTTTGCCATTTTGACTAATTTTGTAGCATCTTTTTTGGTACAGCACTAAATCTGTAGGGTAATTTAGGTATTATTATTATTACTATCACATGACTGATCCATGCAACCTGAATATCTCTAGAATAGATCAATGGATTATTTTCTTTAAGGCACCATAGATAATGAATCAATATCAGTACTGCATATTCACTGAACAGCATAGCATCTAAATACTCAAAACAAAGTTAATGGAATTGCAAGGAGAAATAGTTAGCAAAACTCTAATAGTAAGGGATCTGGATGTATCTCCTTCAGACCTAGACAAATCTAATCAAAAGATCAATAAGAAAAAACTTTAAAAGCCCAAATAGATTTTTGGAAATATGAGAGATGATTGATCTCTTGAAACTATTGAACAGAACAGAAGAGTTTATACATTTCTTAGCTGTGCATGGCACCTTTATAAAAACTGATCATGAAGTCAGCCTTCACAAACTTCACAACTTCACAAACTTGTACAAACTTCACAAACAATGTACAAAAGCAGAAACGGTGAACACATTCTTTATCAACCACAATGCAATAAAAACTATATTGAATAAAGGGCATTTGAAGAAAGAATTAAAAATCAGTTGGAGACTAAATAACTTAAACCAGAAGAATTAGTGAGTCAAAGAACAAATTAAAGAAACAATAGAAATTTTAACAAAGAATATGAAAACAATAAGACAAAATACAAAAACTTATAAGATACAGATAAAGCAGTCCTTATAGGAAATTTTATATATCAAACTGCTTTTATCAACAAAAACTAGATAGAACAAATATATGAATTCGGCATGCAACTAAAAAAAAATTCTGGAAAAGCAACAAATCAATATCTGCTCAACCTAACACCAAAGTAGAAAATCTGAAAATCAAGGAAGAGAAAAAAATTGAAAGGAAAAAAAAACCCTATTAGAATTGACAAATCTAGTAGGTTTTTTAAAGTAGATCAATGAGAAAAGAGAAATAAAAGCAAAGCCTAGAAACAAACTTGTGCAGAGGTCCTAGCATTCAACGAAGTACTGGGAAAGGAACTCTTCGTTCAACAACAACTTCTGGGAAAACAGCAAAGTACACTGAATGAAAATAGGTTTAAAACAAATCAACTTTAAGGCCCCACTTTATGCCTATCGAATTGGCAATAATGACAAAAGAGGAAATCAATAATTATTAGAATGGCTGTGGAAAAACAGCCATACTAATATACTGTTGACTCTGTTGTGGATTGGTTTAATTATCACTCTGGAAAGCAATTTGGAACTATGGCTGGAAAGTTACCAAACTATGCATACTTTTTGATCCAGCTATACCACAACTAGGCCTATACTACCCCCCAAAAAATCCAAAAAAGTGAAATTCTCTCTCTCTACACACACACACACACACATTTATAGCATCTCTTTTCCCAGTGGTCAAAAAATGGAAACTAAGAGGGTGTCTTCCTTTTGGTGACTGGCTAAATAAACTGTGGTACACGAACGTAATGGAATATTATTGCTCGATAAAAAATGATAAAATGGCCAATGGCCAATGTCAGCAGAAGCTGGGAAGACCTTTATGAATTGATGCAAACTAAGTATAACTAGGAGAATGATTTATACAATAACATTATAGAGAAAAATAACTTTGAAAGATTTTAATAGTGAGCATTTATACAATGCTCTTTATATATTTTAACTCACTTGATACTCATAAAAACCCTGTGAAGTAGGTGCTATTATTATAGTACATAGATGAGGAAACCAAGACACAGAGAGGGTAAGTAGCTAATGTCTGATGTAGGATTTGAACTCAGGTCTTCCTGACTCTAAGTCCCACGTTTTATCCACTGTTCCACTTAGTTGCATTTAGAACTCTGATCAACTTCATGATGAGTCCCAAGTACAAAAGAATGAAGGTGAAACAGACCACTAACAATCTGAAAAAAAGGTAATGAACTTAAGATGCAGAAAGAGCCGTACGTTTTTGGACGTGGCTTACAAAGGAATTCGTTTTGCCAGAATTGGTAGATTTGCACTGAGGGATTTGTTTTTTCAGGTTAAAACAAACCTCCACCCCAAACCTGTTCATTTATTTGGAGAGGGATAGTGGAAGGGACAGATTCACATTAAATATTTTTACTTGAAAAATAAAAATCATAAACTATTATTTTAAAAATAAGTTTAGACCAACAACTCACACTATATACCAAAATTGCTATAAATTTTTATAGCAAGTTTCCCAATAGACAAGTGATCAAAGGATATGAATTAAGAGTTTTCTAAAGAAGAACTATAACTATCAACAACCAAAAGAGAAACTGTTTAAAACACCATTCATCAGAGAAACATAAATTAAAACAACTGCGGCATTTGTCACCTTATACCCATCAAGTTAGAAAAGATGGGGAAATTCTATGTTGGAAAGCCTTTGGGAGAACATGGAAATTAACTGCTGATGGAACTATGAATTGGTTTAACCATTCTGGAAAACAATTTGGAATTAAACAAGAAAAGTTAATAGATTATTCGAATTCATCATGAACCTAGAGCTTCCACTGTAGGTACTATGTACCCCCAAGGAACTTTACTGACAGTAAGAAAAGACTCAAATATACAAAAATATTCAAGATCACATTATTTGTGATGACCAAAAGCTACAAATAAACCATATGCTCAATAATTAAGGGATGGCAGAAGAAACTGTGCTACAACGCGAAGTGGAGAAAACAGAGCTACAAGAATAATACACACAACGAATGAATAAAGTCAACCCTGAGGGGCAACAGCCCTCAAAATCAAATGGGACAGACAATGTTGGTCTTAAATTTCTCCAAGTTAGAAAACACACTCTTCCTTTATCTCAGGCCTGGACTAGGCCAGGCCAGAGGCACTCATCATTAGATTGATCATGGTGGGATGAATTTTTCAGCTGCAACTCTTCTGCCCAGACTTAGAAGAGTTGCAGTCTCCATCAATGGAGGAAATATCCAAACGGATGAAATCATGGGTCACTGAAGATACCAGAGTTTAAGAAACAGATAGGGAGTTTTATAGAGTTGATAAACCAAGTAAAGTGAAAATTGAGAGACAGCACTGCAATGCTTGCACAAACAATATTTTGGAGGGGAAACCTGGAAATGGGTTTTCGATCTGCTGAAGCGTGTAAATTATCTAGCATGGGAAAATTTATCAACCCAAAAT